GTACGCTGCTCCGAAGCAAATACAATTACCTCAAGTAGCAAAGTACCTAATCAAAAATCGATTTTTGCGGAGATCCACGGGAGCACCTTGTTTCATTCGCAACATCGACTTACATATAGACTTAGAGAGGCCCACCATCGATCAATGAATCTTTAAGACCACCGCCGCTCATCCCAATCTACTAGGACCGCGATACGTCCACGATTTTCCCGACGGTGAGACGACTATCGCCATAAGGTTAAACAATTATGGAAAAACACAAAAACATGTTCCACCTGGTACGTTTTCCCCCGTTAAAGATAGCGATACTGGAGTTTCTGCCGCCACTTCTCCCAGCGCCAATACTTCCCGAAGTGGTAGTAATGATAGCTGTAAAAATTTCCGTTCTCAGATAACTACCATCGACCCGAAGTCTGGCCCTCTCGTGCAACCTCAAATCGGAATGCTAAACGGTCACTGAGTAACAGCTCGAGCAAGGTCTCTCTCGGAGGCCTGACTCTAGTCACTCTATGTACCGTCCACCATAGCGACATAATAGCTTGAAGGCCTTCCAAACAGATTATAATAATAAAGTGACGGTCGAGGCTCCCTTGGGAGTATGGGAAACATAATCATGTCAATTAATATCGGTAAGTAAAAGAAGCGAGCGATTGTAGAATCGCTAGGCGTTCGGCATATATTTTCATTTACAATTTTGAACGACATACAGAACAGGAAAAAAAGCAACAATTCATCCACGCTACAGTCGAAGGGCGTAATGACGATCATAATGACGATAAGCCTTGCCCGGCCGCGATTAGTGACGTATCTCCGAGCATTATCGATAAATCGACCCGATTGCCGTCCGCGCTATCTCGATCGGTTGGCTCTTGCAAAACAATAAATCGATTCTTTGCGTACATTTAAAAAAAGGTTGCCACCGTAAACGAAAAGATTCAAATACGATAAGCTGTTGAAAATTTATCGACACCTGTTCGCATTCGCTACTAGTTACTCGCCATTTTAATTGGACGTTTAAATTGAGGAATGAAGCTATCCGTGGCTTCAGTGCCTTCACAAAGTCCGCCGCTTATTAACACGTCCGATTATGATAAAAATATTGCGACGCCTTTAAGATACGATTGATAAGAGACGAATGGAAACGTTAACGCAGACCGTTGTTGCGACACTTAAATACGATAAATGTGATTCGTATGTAATTCGTAATTCAGATGTTATTATTAATCTACAAGGTTGACCATTCCAATAGAACTTTAACTGGAATGAATGCACCATGTCTATAAAAATGTCCATAACTATTTGTTCAATAATGTGAAAAAGTTCGTGAGGATGATTTTATTCAATGTAAAGAGAAAAATGTGAACAATGACAATATCAATTGTTAGAAAGAAAGAAAGAAAGAATTTAATTGTTCATTAAATTTCATTATCCCATCGTCGATCTTAATAACAATACATATACACGCAGCCCAAAGACTGATTTAAAGTTAGTTATTTATGATAAGGTACATAAGACTTTGAAAAAAGCCGTAATTGAGGAATTTTCACATAAAATGAACAAAATTTGAGTCTCGACTATTTGGTTTTTATTTTCCTATAATAACGTAAACTGTCTGCGCCTAAGTTTTTATTGAGCAATTTATTGCACAGACTCGACAACGCATCAATACGTTATAAAATCATATTAGAACGTCTGTCAAATAGTACCTCCCTGCAACTCACATCATTCAACTTTGTAACGGTCAACATTGCGCTCTCATCTATTTTATATTAATTTTTCATGGTGAAGTAATGTCCAAATAAATGTAAATTAGCCAGACACTTTGTGTTTGCATTTATGTCCAATACGAGACAATAACTCCTATGTTACAAAAGATACTTATTAATTATTTATTCAATATTATTTATTCAACGGAACTATTTAAAACACCAAACAACACCATACAACTGTAGAGATTAATAATTCAACGGAATGGCATTTCGAATTTTTCCATCGACCGCCTTACCTATATATTTATTCATTTGTAAGCTCGCAATTACGTACATTTCGACGAAAGTGTATCCAGATAACAGTCAATTATTGGAGCGGCGTATCGATAATGACATCTGTCGATAGCGTCGCCTCACTACCGGCCACATGTCGTATCACACGGCCAGGTGAGGTAATTGGCCAGTCGACGGCGAGCGCGGGAGACGCGCGACTGTTACTTTGTGTACGTTAGATTAGTATATCAACAATGTTCTAGTGACAAGGATGTTGGGATTGCGAACTATATTCAGCACTTTTATGTCTTGGCGGGCGTTAATATTCTACTTTTCGAATTCTACGTCCGAAAATTGGGAAATTTCTTAGTCTCGCTTTCAATGGAAACTTCACTTGATCTTTAAATAAATAAGTATTTTAGGACACATTTTTACACAACGTTCTCTAGTCTTAAACTAAGCAACGCTTATATTATGGGTACTAGATAACTGATAAACATACTTAAACATACTTTTCTTTTGCAAATAAATACATATTATACATATATAAACACCCAGACACTAGAAAAACACTATGTTCATCACACAATATTTCTATTATTAGTAGTGGGGATCGAACCCACACCCTCTGGCGCAGGAGGCAGGTACATTACCCACTACGCTATTCGGGTCGTCTTTCTCTTTGAAACTGACTGGTCTAGAACTGTGCATCACACTGCAATCCGACTAGATCATGGCCTTTTTTAAAGTGCCTGTTACCACCATTCTGCCACAGGCTGAAGACAAAGACCAACTGTAAACCGACTGTAGCTAGAAATCTCTTTCTCCTTTCTACATTATATCTTTCTTCTCTCGACTAACGAAATGCGTCAAAACGTGACGGCGTTCTAGAAATTTCAAAACTAATTCGCGTGCAATTATCAAATCACCGCCTAATAAGTTCCTTTGTTTGTTCTTGTGCGTCATAATAATTTCTAGCCGGGACTTGAGTTTAAGTGTCCATAAGATTTACACACTGGTCAAATACTATAATGTAACTCGAACAAACATACTACATCTAAACGTACTGAATGCAGCGGCCTGCAAGCAAAGTTGTACCTACAAGATCACGCTGAGCAATGTTCAGCTTTACTCTTACAGTTATAAATTCCATTTTCGTACAGAAAGTATTACGATTTCACCCCACACTGCTTCCCACTTCGAGATTTGATTTGTCACGTTATGAAACACGCCTATTCGAAATCTAGTCAAGCGTGCACAGACGGAGTCTACTTTCGACTTTATTGCTTTAAGTTAGATGTTAATTTTGCTTGCGCTACTGTTTTATTTGAGATGTCGCCAATGAAGTGAGAAACTATATATTAGGGTGGCACTTTACATAGCTCTTCGTATCTGCTGATTGGTATATTTAACAAACAATGATTGTATCTGGATAGTACGCGACACACTCTTCTAAAAAAGATAGAACGGGTCTTTGTAGAACTAGAATTTGCTGCATAAAATAATACACTTAAGAAATCAATTTATTGATACAAAGAAATGTGTAGTGACATAAAGAAACGCACGGAATTCTTTTATATAGAGCAGCCTCTTATATATGAAGGGTTTTCTTATTCTGTGCAAAATTGTATGTATTATTTTCACAATTAGGTCAAATATAATCATAAAGTTCATATTTTGATATATGAACTTATTTTTGATGACGATGAGATTTCTTAAGACACCGATAAGATACACGTAGGCAAATGTTTAACTTTAAAATGGTCTTTGATTTGTAAAAGAAACTAAACTAATCGAGTTATTGGCTTCACGCTTTACCTTCAAGTAACTTGGGCACATTGCTTGACGATGGAAGCTTACGCACTGCTGTAGGAATCCGTCTGGGGGCACCGATTTGTCAACCACACCAATGCCCTTGTGGTGTCAGTGTAGACAAATTTGGTCTCCACGGGCTTTCTTGTCAAGAAAGTGCTGGCCGTTTTTCCCGCCACGGTTCCCTGAACGACACCATCCGTAGGGCTCTTGTTTCCATCAATGTTCCATCTATTTTAGAGCCCTGTGGCATTTTTCGCGACGATGGTAAGAGACCCGACGGTTTAACATTGATCCCTTGGGAGAGAGGCAAAGCCCTTGTTTGGGACGCCACTTGTGTAGACTCTTTGGCTGCCTCTCATCTAAGGGGTACTTCGGTCAGGGCCGGGTCGTACACAAGGCCGGAGGCAGCTGAAGTAAGTAAATGGCGCAAATATGAGTCTTTATGTTCAGATTATGTTTTTGTGCCATTCGCTGTTGAAACTTTAGGTCCGTGGGGTCCCCGCACATCAAAAATTTTTAAAAGTTTATATCCTAGGCTTAACGCCGCGGCTGGTGACAAGAGAGCTGGTTCTTTTCTCGCTCAAAGGTTAAGTATAACTATTCAGCGAGGAAATGCAGCTAGCGTTCTTGGCACCATGCCGCGTGGATTAGGTTTATTGGATAATATGTAATTTTAGATAGATTTAATCTTGTAAATATTAGATCAATAAGGATTGTTTGGAAAAAAAAGAAACTTAATTAACATTAACAAAATTAATTTTGCACTTCGTTAAACTTATGTTCAAAGATAATTTAGTATATACGCAATTTAAAAATTACGGAACTATAGGTACCAATGATCCTCCTTAATATATTTAAATTACATTTTTAATACAATTTTTAAAATTACTAATTTGTCTACAAGGCATCTCAACTTTTACACAAAATTTCACAATTATCCATAAAATTTTGTAACAACTTCACTTTAACTTTGCTTACGTGAACAATTCAGTTTTCAAGTCGCTGCCGTTACTCAGAAACATACAATCACCATTTGACTGTTAATTTATTACAGATTTAGCTCATAATTAAATTGTATTATTCTATTACATTATTACATAACTACACTTGAATATATTAATAGTTCCATATAGAACATAGCTAGAAGATGTGCTAAAGAAGAAGTAAAAGCTTACTCACTCTCTCTTCTCTATTGCAGTGGTTATGCACAAGGAGAAGGAAGAACTACACGCGCACAGAAGAGAGCATCCACACTACGACCACATCATGCCAGATGGCGAGATGTTCCTTCAAGTAAGTTGCTGTGTGGCATTTTTTTAGCAAATCCATACTTTATACACTATCACAATATCAATACTACATAACACAAATACATCATCATCCTCCCGTATCACCCTTACGTAAGTGGTTTGTGGTTTGTGTAAGTGGTTTGGCTAGGTTTTTTAGACCTGTCTGACGTCAATTGTCCTTGGGAGCAAACACCTAAATCTGGAACAATATGTTGTCTGACATATGCTTGTTAACTGTGGGTCACAAAATACTTGTCCCCGGTAGGAATCGAACCCATGACCCCCCAATGCCAATAGCTTAGCAACTAAATTGACTCGGCTATATATATATAGATATATATATATATATATATATATATATAAATCAGGCTATAGCCAAGTCAACTACGCTTAGCAGCTATACAACAAAAAATGTCGAAGTTTTGATATCAGACATACCTTTCAATATATTTTAATTCTATTAGCGCAATCTTAATGTGCGCTAACAACGCTGCAGGAAAAATAAGCTATGAGTCATAGAAAACCTTGCATCGTGCAAAATTACAACCGAGCTGAATCTGTTTCATATTCGTACAGGCAGGCAAATACCGAGACACAAACAAATATGTAATATTTGCACATGTAATATTACGTATGCACATATGTGGGAATTTAAGTGAAAACGGAAGTTGTTGCAATAACGATAGGACAAACTTACGAATCGTGACTAACCAATCGTTAAAATAAAACATCGAGAACGCATCGATAGATCCTACCAAAGGCGCCAGCTAAACTATCCCGAGTTCACTATTAAATTTCAGTTCGTTCCCTTATCTTTTTTTCGCAACTATTGCGCTAAGACGATAAATTAAAACGGATTGTTCGATAATAAATCAATAGTTAGCGTTAAAGCCATAAATAAATGCAGCCAACGGACCCGTACTTAATATTTCACGATTTCGACTCACCATTGTGCGTGTTTCCATTGGGCTTGCACGGTACGGCATTAAATAAAAAGTATTGTCTATACTAATTAACGTATTCAGTCGCGTTACGGAATTTGTTTATTATTCAAATCAGAAAAATTAAATGCATATAAAAATTTGAACTCTCAATTTTATACCTGTTAACTGTTACGTTTAAGTCGTACATAATACGTTTATTTTCTTAACACTTACCTAAAAAAATCAATATTAGGAACCACGAGATTGAGTTGTAACAAAACTTCCGTATAACTGTAAAACATTTTTTTCTCATTATTAAAAATGAATTCTTAATATCCTCGTGACGAATGTCAATGGAATCGCGTCCCTTATGTATTACGACTGGGTTGGATTGTAACTCAACCGCGCGTCGCTTACTGCTTGGTGATTTTCATGAAAACTTCAAAAACGAATTGTTTTACTTCCCTACCATTTGGAATTTATAATTCTGCAACATTTGCAGAGTATTTCTACTTTGATTGCGCTGTATGTGTAGTACATATCTTTATGTATATAATTCTTCTATACGTGTGTATGTTACTGAACTCCTCCTAAACGGCTGGACCGATTTTAATGAATTTTATTGTGTGTCTTCTGGACGATTCGAGAATGTTTTAGATTCACAACTCGTTTCATTTTTCTTTTTTATTTTTGTTTATAAGCTGTTGCGGCTTTAAATCGCGTGTACAGGACAACGTCTGTTGGGTCCGCTAGTAGTATATCGATGGCTAGGTTGGTGTAGTTACTGAGTCAGCAGCTTCCGAAACGCTTGTGTCCAACTATTCTGTTTGATTTTAGAAAATAAATTCTGAAGATGCTTTACCGTATACAGGATCAAATTCAAATATCTTTATTCCATATAGAAGCATTTCACTTACTTATAATTAATAATCACTAACTTTATAAAAACACACTTTAAAAAACTTTGTAACTTATAAACAAACCAACGTTCCTTTACAAGTTTTTTGAATATTTCAACTGATTCATTTTGAACGTTTTCTTGGAATTTGTTGTAAAAATGTATGCATTGTCCCTTAAAGTATTTACTTATTCCACGCAATCTCAATGAGGAAATTGTGCATCGTTTTGACTGTTTGATATCTAATGTCTGTTTCATGAACTTAATTTCAGGCGCTCAACGGTTTTCTGATGATCCTGACTTGCGAAGGAGAGGTGTTCTTCGCTACACACAGCATCGAGAGCTACCTTGGCTTCCACCAGGTTGGTAGAGGAATTACGATTATTTTAGAAATTGTAATAAATCCCTGTATTGTCCCTTGTATCTCTACCTATATCCTTAACCAGGTTAGTGTTGTCTATCGACTGTTGGCTTCCACCAGGTATTTCAAAAGTATTTTAGAAAATGCATTAAGTACTTTTAGCTTATCTCCGTGACCACGAACGTGAGTGTTTAAGCATATTGAGAAACTGGGAGTGAGTAACGCTACCTCTACTTAAGACACACACATCTAATTATTAACTAGTTACGCTTGACTTTACTGCCGAGTGAGCTAGCTTTATATAACATAACTTTCAGTTATCTCATTAACAAAACGAGTAGTTTCGAATCACCTACACTGTTTCGATATGAATAACTGATGATATAGACGCAATATAACAAGATCCCATGTTATTGGCAGGCGGTGGAAGCTAATGTTTAGCGAACTCTTTTAAATCCATCATATACGAGTATGAGATAGTGGTGATAACAGGTTATGGAGGAGAGAATTTAACAGACTTACCGCTTGGAATCGGAATCCGCAAAGCTATTAGTCCAATATGTTAGTAAAAAAGACATCATTGCGTTTCATTATATAAAATCTCGACTACGAACCTCGTGCGACAGCTCATAAGCGGGACACTTCGAGATAGGACACAACGATGCACACTAGATGGCGCCAAACATTGCTAAAGATGCAATAGCAACAACGTAGATAGAAGTCGAGATTTACGCACCATGAGGTCATCGGCCGCTTAGCTTAGTTGGTAAAGTCTGGACGCGAAGTCAGAAGTTGCGGGTTCCAATCCCGCAGCGCCTAAACTTTTTGTTCATATATTTACAAAAATTTACAATTTAAAGTTTCATCTTGAGGGCAGAGACTAATAGCGCTGAAAATATAAATTTTATCCTCAATAAAAACCTCAACGTTTTAGGCCGTGTGAAGAAAACCCCAATTACCCAAATATATGATACGAGGACCTCGGCGAATTAATCATCAGAAAACCGCGCTATCGAAATATCCACCAAGGCAATGGCGGTGCCATAAAAATATTAATTACCCCGATAAATACATTTAGACCGGGTTTAACTTTCATTAAACCACCCCGCGTTTATCGGAGGCTTTTTTTTATCGCTCCCTTATCGACGAACGGAAAATGGCCGCTAGAAACTGCGTTATCGTTGCAAACACCCAGCTATGGTCGCTTTCTTTGGTTGTTTTGTATTTGTTTGTTTTTGGTTGTTGTGCGTTAGAGCGATGTGTAAATTAAAAACGAGAGAAAGCTGTAAATCTTCTTTTATAAAATATAAAATATTAACCATGCCGTCGTTATACATATTTGAGAGTGCGATGTTTGTGAAAAATAACTTGTCTCTTTTCTCCAAGCCCAACCATGAGCGAAGCAGACGTGACTTACACAAACTTTGTTTACCTAAAACTAATACTAAACTTATGAGCAAGAGTATACTCTGCATGGCACCAAAAATATATAATAGGCTCCCGAAAGAAATGAAGGAATTAAACACAAATCTATTTAAGAAAAAACTACGCGACATGTTAACAGAAAAATGTTATTACAGTATAAACGAATTTATGTCAAATTAATAATCTAAACGTATTCAGTGAATTAATAATGTGCAATTTTATCGATTTTTTTTATTATTTAGTCATTTAATTATTTGTCATTTTGTTCTCTGTTCTATTATTACTGTTTGTTAACTTACTTTTTTCATAGACATATGTTTTAATATTATTTTAATATTCTGTTATATAATTTATTCAATTTTATTTTATGATTATAATAATTAAGAAATTTGAGAATGTATACTAACAACCTTTAAGCGAACATATCATATTTGCACACCCTACAAAATGGGTAGAATATAGCGATAAAAATTACTGTGTTGTACACCTCATGCCTAACCTATATTTCGCAAATAAATACATTATCATTATCATTATCATTATCATTATCATTATCATTATCATTGTTTATAAGCTTCAATCAAATTTTAATAGCAATGTGTGTTTTGCGTATTTTGATAGACTGCTCATTCGTATTTCTCGCCCTGTGCTGAAATCCTTAGTGAAATAGTATCGTGTTATGTTCTTCATGGGGTTTAAGGTTTGCTTTAAATGATGTATCATGGAATATTACTTATGAGAGAAACAATTAATATATCAGTGGTATTTATTTACGAATAATACAAAAAATTATCAACTCAAAATTAGAGCAATGCCCATGCGTCAATCATTTCAAAAATACGAAAATCACGATTTAAAGTCTTATTGCAATCAAAATTCAAGACGATACTCAACATTATGACATAAAGTAGGCAGATGCCAGCTATACAACATACACGACCCCGCAAAAGCACCGTATTAGGGCTCAATTATCACATTTTAATCACAGCACTGCTGCCTTATGAATTAATTCGATACCATCTCTATACAGGGAGGCTTTTCTAAGTGTGTCCATTTTTTTATAAAATTCTAGACATAAATAACGTTATATAAAAAATAGTAAATATTTACAATCACTCGTAATTAATTAAATGCATTCATTTGAACTTATCTCAAAAAGTGCGTGATTTATGGGCAACTCATTTATTTTACGCGCGATCGTTCATAACTACCACGCACACAAGTTCGTTCCAAAAGTATACGAAGCATTTAGTTTTAATAAAGCTGACGCATGTTCATACTGCGCTGCGTTTAAAAATTGTTCCGTTTTAATATACAGGGTGGCTTTTCTAAATGTACCCATTTTTTAATTAAATTTTAGGCATATATATAATGTTATATAAAAATGATAAATATTTAAAAATCACTCGTAATTAATTACATGCATTTGAACTTATCTCAAAAAGTGCGTGATTTATACGCAACTCATTTATTTTACACGCTATCATTCATAAGTAAAGTAAAATTTAGGTATTTATGAATAACTACCGCATTGTCAAAAAAAAAGTAAAGTAACAGCCTATACATGTCCCACTGCTGGGCAAAGGCCTCCTCTATACAGAGGGTATCAGGGCATAGTCCATCATGCGGCCCCACTGCGGATTGGCGGACTTCACATATCTTCGAAATATTTTTTTTTTGTATTATTTCGAAAATATGCAGGTTTCCTCACGATGTTTTCCTTCACCGCGGGGCACGTGACAAGTCAGCACTTAAAGTTAAAAACTTCATTGGTGCCGGCACCAGGGATCGAACTCAGGTTCAAATTCATTGTCAAAAAGTTCTGTTTTTTAGGGAATGGAATGACAAATTTTTTGAAAAAAAAAAGGTTTGTTTTTATTTCAATAAACGATTATACTACCGGGTCTGAACGTACGTGTATTGTTACCGAACTCCTCCTAAACGGCTAGTGCAATTTGAATGATTTGTTCGATTATTTGTATTCGGTTGGGAGGCGCCCTGGATGGTTTAGATTCAAAATCCGCTTTTTTTTTCATTTATAAGTTGTCAGATTTAAGTCGTGTGTACAGTTCAACCACCTATATAATATTTCATAAGAACTCCTGCTCAAAGAAATACCCAGCAAGGAAGATTAGCTCAGCATCGTAGATTGCAATTTTATATAACAATGTCATTCAGTCCCTGCAATGTACTACACGTAAAATAAATCGCAATCAGATATTTAAACATCTTACTATATTAAACGCGAATATAAAACCCAAACAGTCAACTTAATTTCAATTTAGTTTAAGAAAAAGTATTTCATCGCCTGTTTTTTTTTTTTTTTAATTGTAAAGTTAAGTAAAGTAAGTTAAAAGCCTGTATATGTCCCCCAGCTGGGCAAAGGCCTCCTCTGTATAGACATAGAGGGTATTAATTCATAGTCGCGGTCCCACTGCGATCTGGCTAAGTCCGTCATGACTTAACACATCACAATTTTTCTTTTTTTCACCGTTGAGCACATGATAATTCAGCACTTAAAAATTAACCGGGAATAAAATTCAGGTTGCTGGAGTATATTGAATAAAATGCAAGCGCCCGGAAAATGAGCTATCACTTTTTAATTGACAATATTTTAATATTATAATTATTTACGGGTCAGATAAACTAAAACGCGTTTATATAAAACGCGTCTGACTCAGAACGTAGAAGTATAAATTTATTCGGCCCATTTTCATTCACGATACCAAACTTCCCTTTTCTCCATCGAAAAGCGTAATTTATACACCGTTATAAACGAATGCAGGCGTCGCACAAAGGAAACAAATATAAATGGAACGGAGGAATGACGCGGCAAAACCTATTAAAGATGCTCATTAATAAGTGGCGTTCGCATTAAAGCTAATAAAGTCACAATGAAATATCACTGTCAGAGGTAAAAACCACGATTTCTGCTCGAAACAGTCCCCCTCGCCGTAAAGCTTTCGGTCGAAAACAATCGTATATAAATTTCATTCCTACCGCCACCCCATTTCGGACCAACTTTGTTTTGTATACTGCTAGCTATGGAATACGAATAATTCGGTTACCTTAACTTTACCGTCGTCAAAGATCATGCGCCAACAGAATCGGCGGTTGTTTGAGAGTCAAACGTTAGATTTTATATTTCATATTTTCTGCTGTATAAGTTCCCACTAGCCGAGATAGCTTATTTTCCGAGTTCGATCCCCGGTGCCGGCACTAATGAAATTTTTAATTTTAACTGCTGACTTATGACGTGTTCAATGGTGAAGGAAAATCGTGAGAAACCTGTATATTTTCTAAACATAATGAAAAAAATATCAGCAGGGTCACGGGAACGCTTTCGCAAGGTGGCCTGTGCCCTGCAGTGGGACATTGGACGTGTGGACATTTAAAGGATGTTACTTTTATACTAATATTTATATAAGTTCTTCCCCAACATAAGTGATGGAACTACGTGGCGGCTTCCATAGTTCTTCCGGCTAGTACGAGAAAGTACCCCGGGTCAATCATGACCGCACTGGTTGTGTTATACCTATTATGTCCATGGATGGCAGCACGTTAACCGGAAACACAATAAAGAGCAAAACGCTACAGTCATAAAAATATTCTGTATATCTTACAATAAACACATATTAAGACAATCTCAATTTTAGAGATTTTATTACTAAGACTCCGCTGTCTGTCTGTCCGTCCATCTTTCAGACTGTATCTCACGAACCGTAATAGTTAGACAGTTGAAATTTTCTCCGATTATGTACAAAATATTTAAGAGGGGCTCCCATACAGCAGACATGACTTTTTTGCAGTATTTATAAATAATTGTACGGAACCCCTCGTGTGCGAGTTCGACTCGCACTTGGCTGGTTTTTTACCTACGCTCGCGTCTCATTGCCCGCTTTACACTACAGGGGTGACTCGCGGTGCACAAATCGATTTCAAAATCATTAAATCGAGCGGGCTACTTGCTACTTCCTGACGGGCGGCACGTGCCAGATTACGGTTGGGTAATCAACATACGAACAGATGTGATGGTTTTGCTTTTAAAGCACCAATAAACTTTAACTATCAATTTAAAAGTTATTCTAATTTACATCAATCTACTCGAAAGTTGTGAGTTAGATTAAGATCAGTTTTCAAGTTGAAAACTGCACAAACACAATCTGCTTCAATAGTTTACTGATTTGTAATAAATAATAAAGTTTTCGAAACATTTAGTAACAGTGGTACAGTTAACAGTGGTAACTAGCGTATCGAAAACATACGTCTGCTAACATTATAACTCTATCAATGTCAAACAAGTTAAATAATAATGATTTCCATTCTTTACGACATACCGTTATTCGTAGAATTATATACTTTAAACTTTCAAATATTTTCATATTCACTATCTTCCACTACTACTAATACTTTCAATTTATTGAGGTACTAAACTTTATAATGTTATGGAAGAACGGAACGTTCTAGCACAAGCAAATTTTTGCTTAAATGGAAGTTCCAAATATTTGTTAAAACGCAGAACCGATAAATTAAGGAGATATACAATTTTTAAACTAATTTTAATTAGCACACAAACTAATTTAAATTATTACCATATTAACCCAATCCACCGCAATGAATGAACTATGAACGATTAAATTAGTACGAACTGCGTAACCATTACTGGGCATCGTAAAATGGATCGATGCTTATACCACCTGGTGCGGAGTTTCGACCTACGCATTTGGGGTCTGCTAAATAAGTAAAAAGTCACAATAAGAGGGGTGAATGCTATAACGAAATTCTCCTCGGTGCCCATTGTCCATTAATTTTGAAGCGCAGCTTTCACGTCCAACATTGAATTAGTATCACATCTTTGTTTACTTCCCATAAAAACAGACGATGTAGCTTAAAGAGGATCTAGATGTTTTTCACAGCGGATTACAACATTTTCATTGTAAATCTTAAAAAAATACAAAATAATAATTTTTTATTCCAAAGCAAGGACCTAATAATTTAAGTAACCTTTCAATACTAATGTTTAAACTTTCATAATACTTATTACTTATTACGGCGAAGACACAATTGGCAAAACAATGGCGCATCAACTAAACATCATCCACTACCATAGCAACTTTGTCTAACCCCCGAACGTGGGGCTCCAAAAGCAATTACCCAACAAATCATCCTCTGACATTTAATGCCGTTGCAATATGTTTGAACCCACATTTGGAAATATCCAGACAACCCCATTTCCAACTTCATAAAGTTCACCACGTGTTTTTCTACCTATATGATTCATTTACATGACAGCTTTGTAAAACAGGGGAGCAAGTAAAGCGCCTAACGGGACCCCTCATTGATTATCAATTAGTTTTGTACTTGCATCATTTGTTGTCAGCGCATTATCCGCATTATTTACACGGGCTTTTGTTACGTGACGTGTTAAAATTCATAGTGATAATGTGTTAGTGAAATCAGTACTTTACCGCTTTGTGATAAGGTTGTAAATTGGCATAGACAGTCTTTAAATTAACATGTACGTTACAGATGATTCCTTAATGATGAAGCACGAATTGATTTCTGGGGTTATCGTTGGTATATTGATTTATGGCTAAGACATGACTTGCTCTTTTTACGGTTTTTAATAATCTCTAGACGGACCACAATCACTTATCTACTTACGGCGACACGATTAGTTTAATGGTTTCCTTCTACCTCATCAATTACACGTTTCTTAACAATCTCTTTCATATAGGTAATTAAACCATTGAGTAAATTTTGGGCAGAAAACCCTACTGTAACCGCAGTTGTAAACGAACAATTTTAATCCCTTGATTGGTTTTAGTATGCGAAAGCTGATAATTAGAATTAAAATTCATTAATCATTATTATGATTGCCTTATTAAATTAATTATCATTTCGTAGTTTATCGATCATCGCGAAAATACTCATAAATGAGTTTTTTTTTGACAAAGTCATTTTGCAAAATGTAACATCATTTCATGTTAAAATTTGTAGAAAAAGTACGAAAGATTGTCGCCGCTGTGGGAATCGAACCCACGTCTTCGGCATTCGCGGCCTGACGCTCTAGCCACTAAGCTAAACGGCTGCTTGCCGCACCGACGAAAATCATTTCATGCCTTAATTTACAATGTCTTGTGGTTAAATACGAGTATTTTTAATTCAAGCTGGTAGATTTATTACTCCCCTGTTTGTGCTGCTAATTACTCCAACGATGCAACGCGCACCTGGAATATGGTCCATGTATAATAACCCTAATATATCTTTTTTACGAACAACTGTATACAGGTGTGTTTTCTTACTCGCTTTATTTCAATGTTTCAAATAAAAGTAACTTATGGATCCTCTCTCAGTTAATTTTTATTTCGATTAAACATCGAGCATTCGGAACAATGACTATTTAAATAAAAATAATACTGTTTCATTAAAACGTGTAATATTCGCGTAATAAAGATAATTACTATCGCTTTATTTCATTTCGTTGTTAAATGAAACTAGTTTGTTTTGAAATTCCCGACATTTCGAACCGTTTCCATTGTTCATGGTCACGGGACAGACTAAGTTGTTACACCTCTTGATGTCATAGTGTACCCCGGCTACCGAAAATTATTTTGTTTATTTTTATTCCGAACCACGCAGAAGTTTCGTTTCATTTCGTTGTGATATGATTTCAGTCAGACATAGTTCACCAGTCCGTTTACGAGCTGGTGCATTCTGAGGACCGCGAGGAGCTGCAGAGACAATTGCTGTGGAACTCCTTCCTATCACCAGAATCGAGCAACTTAACGCTTCAGGACGTCCTAAGACCTGAACGAACGCACCTTCTGGAGAGGAGTTTTACCGTCCGATTTAGATGTTTACTCGACAACACATCGGGTTTCTTGGTAAGAAAAATATTCATGGAGTATGTATATTTACAAAATAATACGCAAAATTTGGAATTGATTCAAAATTAAAAAGTAAAAGAGATGGCTTAACATCGAAATTGATTCTCAGTGATCCCTACGATTTCCAATGGGTGACGATCTCAAATGTTCAACGGTATAAATCATTATAAAATGTGATGTAATCGGCTGCTTTTCGCAAATTATCGCTTCGTCTCGCCAGGTCCTTTCCTGGGAATATCTAGATGCGATATTATAATCATCAATCTTTTTAACAGAGGCTCGACATCCGAGGCCGTATCAAGGTACTTCACGGCCAGAATAAGAAAACGGAAGAGCCCCCTCTAGCCCTTTTTGCAATATGTGCGCCCTTTGGTCCACCCAGTTTGCTGGAAATACCGCAGAAAGAAGTCATGTTCAAAAGCAAACATAAGCTTGACCTTTGTCTTGTCTCTATGGATCAAAGGTAAGTATTATTTCAGCGATACTAGCAGATATCTATTCAATTAAATTATTGTGCTTATTTTTATTAAAAGATCTACTTATAAACTAAACATTTTGATTGATAAGTTCTTTTAATCAGACTTTACTTAGTTCCCATTCATTTAACACAATTCTGAACCCAAACATAATATTTTTCATTCATTCATGAAACTGCAACCGAATATTTTTGCCTGATTTAACGTACTACTTTATATAACTCTCAAGCTACACCAAATCCTCCCAAACAGGATACAGTTCCGTTACGCCTAGGAGATTATAAAAATGCAGGTGGAATCATCTAGGAATCGTTTCAACAATCTTTTTTTTTTCATTCGGGACGTAACCGTTGCCCCGTATAAAATGTATAATTGTTAAACAAGAGACGTGGCGTGGCTAATGCATTTATTGATACTTTGTGATGTTATGGATTTTATACGCTTCGGAACCGTTGGTATGGTGTGTTCGTGCGGGGTAAAGACGGACCATATCGTAACTTACTAGAAAGTGAAGGCATAGAAAATACTCCACAATAAGAAAAGACAAGTTAAAATTCCCACGAGATATTACCAAATGGATTAATCCGAACTCAACATTTAATCAGTGAATATATAAGTAAAATCAATAATCGATTTTTGTAGAGAATCGTGTTTTTTTCATCTTGGCCCCTTATCTGTATTTCTTTATTGGATACATTTTCGAAAACTTATGAATTTCTTTATCAATGTTTTAATATGTTCTTTATTAATGTGTGAGCTTGTTGGTACACGCGCAAATTTAAGACATTGATCTCAGCAAGGCAGCTTATCGCAGTCGGAAATCATTAGAAAATGCTGGGAGATGTCATGTCGTCCAACCAGGCATACTGTTCTATTCGCTTTTGTGCAAAATTATTTATTTGACTTTCGTTCCGTCCCAGGGGCAAAATGCTGCTGGGTTACACCGACGCGGAACTTGCCAACATGGGAGGCTACGACCTGGTGCACTACGACGATCTGGCTTACGTGGCGAGCGCGCACCAAGAACGTGAGTGTTTGGTTGACGTAACATTCTTCTGAGAACCTAAGCCGAGGCTATTAGAGCCGCGGAGGAGAAAGCAGTTGAAGCATTTATAAAACTATTCAGATTATTATCTTTCACCATAAAGGAAACCACTCCAAAGAGACTATCACGATCATCATGAATTTGATTAATTGTTGTCAGTTAATAAAGGCCTAAATTATTTCAGTACTAAAAACCGGCGCGTCGGGAATGATCGCATACCGCTTCCAAACGAAAGACGGCCAGTGGCAATGGCTGCAAACTTCATCAAGGCTTGTCTACAAGAACTCCAAGCCGGATTTTGTCATCAGTACGCATAGGCCCCTCATGTAAGATGCGAATTTGAATCTTTAAAACTTATCCATTGAATTGTTTTACAACAATCCTGAAAAGTAGATTTTTAAATACTAATCTTATTCATATCTTTTTTTTTTATGTGAGAAAATTGTAAATGAGCTGTCAATTCACCTGATTTTCATTTTCAGTGATAACCGTCACATATGCATATTTGCAACACATGTTGCAAATATGCATGTGTGACGGGTTGTAGATGCGTTACCACCTTTTAATAAAGTGGGCCCCGGCTATCCCACTCACCAGACGAAACGCAGAAGTGTAACACTTCTACTTGACGCCGGGCTTCTATGAGATTTTGGTAGTAACCTGGACGGACTTGCCCATTCATGCAACACTTCTCGTTATAGTATAAATTAGAAATGTTACGGATTTTTTATATTTACCTCATGATTTTCCCCATTAGGGAAGAAGAAGGCAGGGATCTGCTCGGCAAGAGGACGATGGACTTCAAAGTGAGCTACCTCGACACCGGTCTCACCAGCCTCTACTTTTCCGAGACGGAGCAGTTGTCTGGCTGTGAATCCACCGTCACCACCCCACCGAGGGCGGCTAGGCGGTACAAGACGCAGCTGCGCGACTTCCTATCAACTTGCCGGAACAAACGTAGAGTTCCCTCCACGCCAGCTCCACCACCCGTCGACTATCTAGCCGCGGACGCGGTCGCAGCGGCGTACACGAACCTCAACGGGGCGTACACAGGCCCGTACGGGGAATACCCCCCAGCCCCGGCCTTGCACTACGCGCCTCCACCGCTGGACGATAGATTCCTGGCGGCGGACAACCTCTTCCACCAGTATAAGCCACTGTCTTACCACTACACTCCTTACGCGCCTAACGGCTTCTTGGAGCCGGCGCCGCCGGGCTACGAGGTGGCACCCGCGTACCACAGACCACCGTCGAGGGAGTACACATATGTGGATAGTACGGGAAGGTATATGAGCCCCGTGACGGGCCAGGAGAGGAGGTCGCCCAGTGTGGTCGCCGGCCCCAGTCCAGGGGGCTCTAGTGGCTCGACCGAGCAGGAAAGACTGCAACAGACCCAAGCCCCAGAGATGCCAAGGCAGACGGTGCTAATGTGGGGCGCCGGCGGCACCGCTCAAGAGGTGCCCGTGGAGTACTCTCCCCCTCAGGTTTGGCGCTACCACCCCTCGCATTACCACACCGCTGAAGCAACTCAATGAATGTACGTTAGTAGTTTCTTTTTTCGTTTTCAACTTACGCAAATTCTTGATAAGCAACAGAGTATGGTCGACTTTGCACCGTTTCATTTCCGTTAACGGAACCTCACGTGACGAGGGACGGGGTGGAAATAAAATAGTTACCATGCCATTTGTAACGCCTGTATACAATTGTCTAACTTACAACGAAATATGACCTATGTTATATAAATTTTCTGACATTCATTTACACAAATTTTTCTTCACCTCTTGTTTAATTACTGCTAATTTGGAATATCATTTCCGATTAGAATTTTTTTGTCAAAAACAAAAAAAATCTTTTCTTTTCTTATCAATTCGTTTATTTTGTGAACAAAAGTCTGTAGTCATGAGAAATTTGCTTCTCATAAAATCCGAACAGTATAATAACTTACTCTTGATCTCATTTTGATCAAACCTTGTTTTTTTCGTACGACGCAAATAATCCCTCGTCGCAAGGCGTAAGTAAAGAAGGTCTCGGCAGACTAAAACAGGGTCTTTCCATTATCGAGTGTGTAGATAACCCTAAATTTATACATATTTATTTATACGACGAATATCCAAATTAATATCGATTTTAAAACATGATAGTCCAGTTTTTTATAGTTAATTATTGATAATGTTAAGTCACGCGATGCAATCACACGTTTAGTGTTATATGATTTTGTAAATAATTATATCATAGACAATGTCGTAAGCTTGGTTGGGCTTTGAGTTACATTATATAATTCACCGAGTGTTCGCTTGAAATGGAATGAAGCGAAGCGTTCGAACAAAAAAGAGATCTCTCGAAAAATTGTATTTGACAATAAAAAGTATGTTCATAAAAGCTGGTACCAACATTAGGACTATGTACTTGAAGAAATAATCTCTACTTTCCAATTTCACCGTAATTACCAATGACGTTTTAATAAAGCTGACGCATGTTCATACTGCGCTGCGTTTAAAAATTGTTCCGTTTTACTATATATGACAAATATATGTTAATGTGACAAGATTATACACGGAGATTTTTTGGGAAGTGCCCAAATTTAAACAGGGGTTTTCCAAAAAATGCTATTCTATTCCCTAGAAAACAGAACGGGTTGACAATGCGGTAGTCATTCATAAATACCAAAATTTTTGTATGCACGAACTTGTGTGGGTGTTAGTTATGAATGATCGCGCGTAAAATAAATGTCATATCTACTTTGAATTTGTATATAATATCATTGGTAATTACAGTCAAATGTATTTTACCAAATATTAATTGTGTTTCCCTTTATACAAATATTCCCTTCATATAAACTATTTGAGTTACCCAAAATATTTTCTTAAACTGTAATAATGTTTCTAGAGCGCTTCGCTTCGTGAGCAATAATGATTTTAAATAATTTATTTATCTAGTATAATTCATATGAAAAGAGTTAGACATATCAGTACTTCCTTTATGCACACAACATAGGTGCAATGGTCTCCATAAGGTTTCATGAGTGATATTGAACCGTTTCACCTTCTCATTATATATAACAAGTGACTTCGATAAGTTTTAACAGTGGCTTGTGTGAAACATTTGGTTTCTATTTATGGGGGCAATTGTTCACCACCCATTGTCATGCCAACGCGTTTCTCCAGCACTGTCTATGTAAATACACCCCACGCGCCTTGAACACTTTCTAAACTTTTCGATTTTTCGTCTAGATACACAAGCGCTCCTTGTGACGAAGCATCTAATACAGCTTTTGAGACTGGGATTTTTTTTCGTTAAGCAAATTGAAATCTATTCGACTGTTTAAAGATTAAGGTGATGTGGCAAAGGAGACAAAATTAAGGTGAAGTACCTTTAATTTCTTTTGTGTCTCAAGCATTGTGTATGTTGTATTAAACATCGAAATAATAATTAGTTATTATTGATTTGAACCTCCAACTACGCTCTTCTAGATATGATGCGACACATGTTCAAATTTATGTATTGTGACTGAACTAAAATAATCTTTGCTAACTTTTCTATTTGGATTTTTATTCATATCTTTCAGTCGTGTAACTTGGGTTGCTAATTTCACTTGATTTTGAACGTGAGACAAAGTGTATGTATTAGCATATGTATTAACATTACACTTTGTCAATGTGAACAGAGTGGATTATGTTCTGATCAATTTATTATCTAAATCGCCAATTACCGTTAATCTGGATGGTTATGTTACAGGAAAGAGTGGATAGCTTCTACTTAATTATTTATCACCTAAATCGCCACTTATATTTAATCTGGTTAGTGGTCGAGTATAGAGTCGTGATAGAGTACGCTTCAGTCACAAGGTGCACTTGGTGACCAGACATTTCTAACGTTGATCCCGTTGTGCAGTGATCCGGCGTTGGCAGGACAACGGCTTCCGGTAATCGTCCGGTGCAGTAGCCTAAGGATAGAGTTAAGGACGTGTGCTGCGATAACAGATGTAGGGCTCAGCTCATCGATCATTTCGAAATTCAGCTCAAATTTGGCAACCTTCTCAACTCTAACGGTTTCAAAGCCAAGAAAATCACATAATATCTTTCGCAATCGTAAACTAAATAGCGAATTTATAAGGTAAATTATATTGACTCAACAATAATTAAAAACAATTATGTTCCAACGGATGCTTAACACAGTTAGGTTTGTTTGATCACACGTCAATTAAAAAACAACCTTAATTAAATACGCTTAAGTAAAAGTAGCACTCCAAAGTTTGGAAAACGGAAAACGGAAAATGGAATAATATGATAATATGCGAATAACATTCCCATATTATCAAAAATTAATACGCAGCAAATCCCGTGGAATGATGCCAAAATCTCCTCATACCCAGCTTACTTGCAACCGTTATACTTATAATAAGAGTTATTTTTCCAATATCTTTTGATAATGACACCATAAGCAAATTATCCATTTAGATATAAAAATGAACTTTGCAGGGCTGTTTGCAAACGTAGCTCTAGAAATTGTGGCAGCAATATCTGAGATTTATAAGTCTAATAAACTTTACTTCCAACATATTTTTGGGAACGTCCATCCCTACCAAGCTGGATGCCCTACCGATAAACTTAGTTACATATAGTTAATTCAAAATAACTATCTGCAGCGGCCAATTGATTTAAACTAAAACAATACTCAATAATTATACTAAGCAAGCCCCCTAAATCTGTTTTTAGCAGCACATTCGTCCAGAAAGTTTTGTCTTCTCGCTGTATATTCCTTAAAAATTGTATTGTTCATACGGGTGGTCCGAAATTAGTTTTCTATTAGATATAAAACGAGTCACTAAGTAACTCTTATCTTCCAAAATGTGAGTGCTGTCGATGGAACAATTGACAAGTACCATAGTATTCCTCTCTTAGGATTATTTAAATAAAATTTTCTCATTATTAAACTTTAGTGTCGCCAGCTAAGCATGTACAGGGTTGGCAATCGACCGACCGTTGAAATCATTTCAAAATTTAAAACACATTATGGTAAAAAAAGTTTTTTTTAAGGCAGAAGAGCCATGACGTACAATTCAAAATTGGGTTGGTCTTTTTAAAAATCAATACTGGAATAGGTATTTTAAGTAAAAATAAAAACAGATTTTCAAAAAGCAATAAAGTATTTTGACGATAGATTTTTGATTAAACTAAGAAAATGGCGACGGATGTGCTCACGAAATGCAAGTTACCTTTTAACTAAACACCAATCTTTATTAAAAAAATTCAGATTTACTAATTAATTATTCGCAAAATTGTGATCTTATACTTTCAATTCACGAACTACCTTTTTATATAAATAATAATTCATACGACGTTTGCTCGAATTAAAAAATAGAAAATGTAAATAAATAACTAGGGTAGACGCTTTATTACAAATAATTACATTATTTATATATATTATTATTGATTATCAGTAATTATTTAATTGAACATATAATTAAGATGAAAATATCAATACAACTTCTGTATTTATTTTAGCATAGTGTTATTATGTAATTAAAAGAAAATCAAATAAATTTTTCATGCCACTGAGTTCTCGTTTTATTTTATACTTAAGTATACATTTTTTGTGTTTTTTTGTACCTTACTTTATGTGGAAAAACTTGCTCGGCTTAGTACCTACTACCAATCACTCGTAATTTTATCAGATTTTATGATCACTTCGGAAACGAAAGATTTAACAATATTAGCGCTATAGAGCATATCAAACCATAGACAATGATAATAGCAGAAGAAAGTTAATTCTATTTTTTTTTCTGTTATCTTTATAAATACAGTCTATATAATACTAGCCGATGGATTGAATTTCGATTTTATTCCGAAGTTCTAACGGTAACGAAAAAAAAACAATAAATAACCACTACGACTGGCCGTGCTCAGCTGGTAACTAATATAAAAATTATAAATAATTATGTATGTAGTACCATCAGTTAGAAGTATAAATAAATATTGTATAAATACTTCAATATCACAAAAAAAATACAATGGTAACTTTTTTGCCCTATTTTACTAAGAATGTGTCATGTTTATTTAAAATTTATTACTAACATTTAGCTAAAAAATCACATTCAACAAAAATTAGTTAAATGTTGTTTTAGCGCCATCTAGTGGGAAACACTAAAATTCTATGACACCAATTGTAGCATTTTAATGAGCTTTACGATAAGAGATGGCGATATTTCGAAATATTTTGTTTTTAATTAAAATATCGAAAATCTTATTATCCTTTAACTTAAACTTCATATTATCACTTAGATTTTTTTTCTCTTTAAAAACAAAGCCCTTACTTTAGTTATTAGTTTACTGTGTTGTAAGGACGTTTTACAAACATAAATTTCACGTGGACAAACACCCAGATCAGCGAAACAACTATCTGTGGGTCACACATATAGTTGTCCCGTGTGGGATCGAACCCACGACCCTCGACACCGTAGCCAATGCCTTGACAACTGCGCCACGGCGTCATCATCGTTTAGAATTATAACGAAATAATATCAGCCTTTTTATACGACTTCCAAAAATTTAATAGAACCCATATACGAGTCTATTAAATGACTGTGTAATCATGAGTTATGTTATAAATCTTCCAATAATTGGGTTATTGAAAACACATTTAAAAGTGAAAATAGAATTTCACTCATCGATTTAACATTTTTTTTGGTCATAATAAATCTGGAAATCTCTTCCTGGTCCAGAAAATGGCAGGAAAAACGACAATCACGGGCATTATTGAAGAGCGAAGAATTGCGAATCAGTAACCCAAAATCCTGGGGTAGACGATACTGGAGTGGGCATGGCCGCTGCTGTATATAGCATCCTATGCCTAGCCTATGATCACGGGTGAGGCCTAATTTGGTTGGCTTAATTTCATCAGCATAGTAGGCTACAAATTATTGAACGACCCACGAATAGTAATTTTCGATCTCTTGCCCTTTAAAATTTTTGTTCACATAATATCCATTGAACATCGTATATAAATGAAGCCTAAGAAATGTTACTAAATTAAACTATATTTACGTATTTATCGCGTTAATTTTTAAATTTTATTTCCCGACATTTCGAACCATTTTCGGCGTTAACGCTAAAAAGAGCTTAACTTAGTAATGTGCTCTTTACTCCAATATACAAAAAAATATTTAAGAAACGTTCGAGGAACCTTTGTTGCGAAGTCGTAGGTTCAAAGACAGCATGACGTAGCTTCTATTCACGAACGGCCAAATTATTTGGATGACCTGCTAAACCGGTTGTTGTTTATTTGTACTTATACAATTAGCCATATGTTTGTAAAACACTGCGACACACAATAGAACTAGTAGTGTATTGTTATTGAAAATAGGCATAGGAAAAATAAATCGGATGGTGCTCTGAACCGTTCTAACTTTTTTGTCTATTTTATGTCTCATAGCTGTAATACATTATTCATAATATACTTACGTTGTACGATTTCCCTTTTAACCCTTACATAATAATTAAGCTATGATCATCATCATCTCCCTTAATTCTTACATATAAATTAAGCTTCCGTATGTTTGTACCAACGAGAGTAGCAGAGGACAGCAACAACCTTCCGTTGAGAGGGGTTTTTGCAAATTTACATTTATAATTATAATTAATTTATTCTACATAACGGCACATTGTTTCTCCTTTTTTTCAAATTTTCAATTTCTATTGTGTAGCAAGAAATAAAAGGTTTTTATTTTATATATATTATTTTTATTATGTTTCTGTCCACAAAAAAAATATGAAAACATACCATCGGCTAGTTTTGGGTTTTTTACATTATTTTGATATTTTTTCACACCATACCTATTGAACATGAGTATGTTTTTATATACTTCTTATTCAGAAGTTCAAACGAAATTTCAAAAACGAGGCGCGGCGAAGAGTGGTCGGGTTCAGCTAGCAGGTATTTTGAATTATTCTGATTATTTTTAACGTAACTCTCCCAAAAAAAATAAACAAATGTTTTATTTAAATCTATGTTTGAAATAACTAAAGAAAGAGCATTAATAAAGAATTTAAAATAAATAAAACTTGTAAAATAAATGTAGCCTAAATTACGCCTTAACACATCAGCTATCTGCCAGTGGAAATTCCGTCAAAACCGGTCATTTTCGGAGATTAACCGGAACAAACATATAGACAAAAATTCTAAAAAATGTTATTTTGGTATATGTACCGTATATACATCCATATGGAATTCGAAAAAATTAACGATTACGCACTAAATTTCTCTTCTTTTATAACGGTTTAAAGAATTTATTTCCCAAAAGAAATTACATAGTTCACTTAGATGAGAAACTTAATTATTTACAATAAAAGAAAGAGAGAAATTGGAAAGAGAGAAATTTTGGTCGGTGTTAAATGTTTAAAGTTAAATAGTTGTTTGATGATTTTATTTTGTGTGACTTGCAAATCCTGTAGATTGGTAAAAGCAGCCTGCCACCAAACCTGGATAAGGTATTTCAGATGCGGTTTGACTAAGGTGTTATATATTGTGTCGCAGGTCACGTCCACGTGCAATTTAAAATAAAAATAGCCTAAGTTACTCCTTATGATATCAGCTATCTGTCAGTGAAAGTCCCGTCAAAGTCGGTCCAGCCGTTTCAGAGACTATCCCGAACAGACAGATAGACAGACGTAAATTGTAAAAAATGTTATTTCGGTGTAAGTACCGTGTATACATCCATATGTATTTAGTAAAAAGCGGTTATTTTAATATTACAAACAGACACTCCAATTTTATTTATCTGTATAGATGACGCAATTTAAATGGTATGTATTTTGAAATGTTTCGCAAAGTTCCGGTTAATGAAAGTAATTTTGATTTTATGTGTTCAATGTGCGGTCTGAAAGTCAATCTACTATCCAAGATCAAACCTAAGCATTTCTCCTGATTTGATCTCAGAATCTGTTGGTTGTTTTACAGTCAGCGGCGTGAAGTCAGGATTTTTTTGTTTTTTGCAGAAAATATTACGTATGAAGTTTTTTTTACGTTAATGGTCAATAAATTTTGATTAAGTCAGATATTGAGTTTATTGAGGTCCCGTTGGGCTTCAGTTACAACACGATGGATCGTGTGTCGAAAATAAAAAAGACATGTGTTGTTGGCATATAATGAGATGTGTCCCGTCAGTCCTATACTGTTTAACGCTATTAATGTAAATTAGAAATAGTAATGGACCCAAAACTGATCCCTGTGGAACGCCGTAGACAATTTTAGCTGCATATTTCATATTTTTCTATTTTTATAACCTGTTGTCTATTTGTAAGGTAAGATTCAAATATTTTATAGACATTTTCAGTGATGCCGATGTCTTTCAGCTTTTTTAATAGGATCGGGTGAATCGAAAGCTTTTTTAAGATCTATAAAAATTCCTAGAACCACTTGCTTTTTATCAATATTATTTTTAATTTTAGTCACTGAATCAATAGTTGCTGATAATGTATTTGAATGTGGTTGAAATCCATATTGACGTTCATAAAGGAAGTCTATTTCATTCAGGTATTATATATAGGTAGGTACCTAAGTGAGTATAAAATCACAAAATGCTTAAAGAGGAAGGAAACGTATATTGGGAAGTATCAATATAATTCGATATATTCAAAATCATCATCATCCTGCCCTTATCCCACCTAGGTGAGGTCGGCGCTTGTGAATAATGTGGAAACTGGTTTGGGCTTTTTTACGAGCGGCAGCCTACCTTATGTCAACACTCCTTGGGAATAAACACTCAGATCCGAAACTATCTGTGGGTCACACAAATACCTACTTGTGCCGTTTGGGAATCGAACCCACGCCCAGCTCTGAAACCATGAGCTTATCCGTGCAACCGGTGTCACATTTAGGTACTCCGAATGCCAACTTATATTGTCCCGTCTTTGAGCCTTGACGGTACTAAAGTCCTCGTGTGATGACATTGGGGTCACGATGCCTGATGATTGCAGCCAATAATAAATCTGGAGCTTTGTCGATATGACGTCAAACAAGAAAAGCCACAAATGACTGTTTATATTAATAAATAAACAGTTGTAATAATGTGAGAGCGGTCTGTTTCTACGTTTGGATACATACAGAGCTGCAAACCCTTAATGAGAGTTTAATTTCTTAACTAAGAACTTACGAGGAACCAGTTTCCGAATAGAAAACTGTTGATCATATTAATGTTTAGGTAGGGCTCGAAAAATCCGCAGCATTCAGCCGCATTTCTTACAATATATTATTGACGAGATATTGGCTTTCAGTCTTGTTTCTTTGATCAATATAAAAAAAATGAAATCATTCAACAACGATTTCACGAAGTTCTTCCATCAAAGTTATAATAATTATTACTTACATGAGAATATGAGTTCTAATATATTATGATAAGCATACTGCTTCTTTTTTCTACAAAATTTTAATTTAAACCTTTTACTACATATCAATATATTACGTAGCCCAGACTGAAATCACTTTAAGCCATAGCATTTTGTTAGATTATCTTTTTTCATCACGTAGCCGCGTAGTACCTACATAGGCTTCCGGGTGGTAATATCATCTCGGCACATTCGTTGTCACACTCCGCCGGTGAGCAGTCATCTGCAGACACGCTTCACACTATCTCGGGGACTTTCGAGCTGTGCATACGTCTGCCGATGACGATGTGACAAGTGGCCGGTTTTTTCAGTGGTTTCAAGTACGGACGCCTATCTTCTAATTTTTTGTTGAATTAATTGTGCCGGGTGCCAAGATGAGGGTCTACGACGCGTGCTGCTACGCTTTACTGGCTGTGAGTATTGATCATGTCTTGTGTACGCGTTTATTCATTTAATCTTAACTTCATTGCCTTCTATGCCAGTGGTAGGGCCACGCAATAGTCTTGGCTGTTGCACGAATGGGCAGGTCCTTCCGGGGAAGTACCACGACCTCACAGAAGACCGGCGTGAAGTATAAATGTTACGTACACTTCTGCGTTTCGTCCATTGAGGGAGGTAACCGGAGCCTACAGGTGGCAAAGCATCTGCTACGGGTGTTGCAAATGTACATGGGTGGAGGTTATCACTTAATGAACCACCAGGTCCACCGCCAGCTCGCTCGCCACGTTTGTGTGGTGTGTTGACATCTTTAGGTAGGTGCGATATTTAAAAAAATACATTAACTATAAATAATAAATAATATTAGCAAACTTTTACACGTATTATATACTAGTATGTGTGTTAAACACGTGTTGTATTTATTTATTTGTCAGAAATTTTTTGATTTAATGTCTGAGGTTAATCAAGCAAACAAAAGGATTATGCAGAGTAAGGGGTAGATAGAGTAATATATTTATATTCTACAGCCATAAGTTTTTTTTTAATGATTCAATAGGTTTTAGATTCTTTTAAAAACCGTGGCATGGCAAACACAGCGCCAGCCTGGTTTAATTTTCCCTTAATTAATACTTTTCATTTCCTTTATATATGTTATTGAAAACTTTACCTTAGGAGACACAAGAAATTATTGTGGGAAATGGATCGCATTGGGACAACATTATATTCTGTTGTGAGAATATTTAACTTACGCGACCCATAACGGAACAAACAATCAGATGTGCAATAATTATATATATAGTGTACCCGTGGGAAAGCCGTCGCTAAAACTCAATTAGTGTGGTAGAGCCATGCAACAGTCTTCGCTGTTGCACGAATGGGCTGGTCTGCCCGGGCAACTGCCACGAACTCACAGAAGTTCCGTTTGAGGTGGAAGCGTTATGGTTCTGCGTTTCGTCTGGTGGTTGAGTTACTCGGGAACCACTTAATTAAAAGTTGGCTACGTCTGCAACCCTAGAGGTGTTGCAAATGTCCATGGGTGGTGGTGCTTAACATTAGGTGAACCGCTAGCATATTACATTATAGCTTAGCAAATATGAGGACCGTCTTCGTCGTGATGATGAATTCGAGTAAAAGGTAAACTGCTATCTCTAGGTTGTAAAAGACCAGCTATTGGAAATGGTTATAACATGATGGTGGTAGAACCATTGTGGTAGGGCCACGCAGTGATATCAAAAAAACTTTTCGAAGATATGTGAGATAGGTAATCCGCAAACAAATCAAATCATTTATTCATCGAAATAAGAAATATACATTTCATTTATCGATAGGCATTTTTTAAATCTACCACCGTTTCGTAATGAGGTTCCTCTAACGGAAAAGAAACAGGCGAAAGAAACTCCGTAGGTATCCTCTTTATTGTCATCTTTTTTTCTCAATGAATTACATTGTTATACAGCACATATTTTTGTTTTAGAAACAGCTTAGGAGCGATCATCTCATTCCCAGGGGTTATTATCGTTAATGTATTCATTTATATTATAATAAACCTTTTTAAAAAGTTTTTCTTTAATAAATTTCTTAAATCTGTTAATAGATAGGCTTTGCACATTAACTGGGATTTTGTTGTAGAATTGTATACACCGTCCCATGAACGAGTTACAGACTATGCAGTTCCATTGTCTTATCACTTCCATCCTATTGTCTTATCACCCATTGGCGCGGTTGCTAAGGCTTCGTTGTCGGAGGTCGTGGTTCTCAAAATGACGATTGTCAACAAGCATGTGGACCGTCCTAAAAAACCTAGCCAATATTACTAACATGATTCACATACTTTGCCTAACCCACTCAGGTAGGATAAGGACTGGAGGATGATGGCATTGGTAACCTATTAACAAATTTTTTATCAAAAATCGTCATAAATATATCAGTGATCGGCCGAGCCTACCGTCTTCCGGCAAAATTAGTGAATGATTATTTTGGTTCGTCGTAAAAAAACAACAACACAACGACTTTCACGACGCCGCGGCTAAAACAATAATGATATTCAATTAAAGACAATTAACCGAACGGCTTTCCTTTTCCGTTTTAATCGGGTCTCTGAAAACGTAGAGAGAACACGAGAAATTGGAGGTGGGCGTAGAAAAAGTTTGACGTTGGATAAAGAAATGTGAACGTAATAGGATGGTCGGACGCCTCCTCCGTAGAAACCTGTTATTACTATTAATTTCACTACGTTTCCGAACGGTTATTACGTGGCGAAATTTAACTTTCTTGACCTTATCCTACACAGATGGGGTCGGAACAACATGTGAGTCATGTTGTAAGCGGTGATGGATACATTTTGTACGACCACTCACCTGCCTGACGTAAACCCTGCTTGGGAAACAAACTCCCGGATTTTTTTTATGTGAAAAGTTGCCAGCGAGCAGGCGGTTTCCCAGATGTTAAGTGAATACCGCCCATGGACATCTGCTACTCCCGAGGGTTGCAGATGCGTTGACGACCTTTTGAAAATTGGGCTCCGGCTACCTCACTCACCAGACGAAACCGAAAGTATTATACATCCACTTCACGCCGGTCTTCTCTGTGGTCGTGGCACTTACCCTGCCTGAAATTGTTGCGTGGCCCTACCACAGTAAAGTCCACAGTACTACCACACTACCCAGATGCGGAACAATTATTATTATTAAAATACTGGTCCCGTGTGCGAATCGAACCCACGACCAGAAGCCTATAGCTTAGCAATAGCGCCATCGAAAATTACCTTAACCGTCCCCAATTCATACTGTGAAAGCGTGTACAACAACTATAGATCTAAGCCATCTATTTTGATTCAACTTCACCTGCGGACACCAGAACCTCATTTCGGAAACTATTATTTTCAACCGATCGAAAAAAGATAGAGGCTTTTAATTAGGTTTCACGTTTTTTCACGATTGTTATATCAGAACTCCGTTATTGGTGAACCGATTTTAAAAATTCTATATGTACCGGGATCCATTTAGCTGCCTTGTAAGCATTATTAGACCTCAATAAGTGGGTCTCCCATACCACAGATATGATTTGTTTTGCCATTTTTATAGATAATGGTACGGAACCCTTCGTGTGCGAGTCGAGTAGAATTTTTTGGTAGTAAAAATGTACTTGTCTTTCGCACCAATGCAATGGTCATGCCGCTATGACGAATCAACCGTCCTCAGTGGTGACCCAAACTTTCTATTACATTACATCGTTGCTACTGTCTGTAGATGGTGGCAATGTCTTACCATTTACCGCGTTCTCCATCAAATAATTGGCGTATGTAGGCCATAATAATTATAGAAATCATTTGTGTTCGAGCATTCGACAAAAACAATAGGCAAAGTAAGAGCGTTCTTACGCAATCAGAAACAGAAAAAAAAACAAACAAAAAATATATAATTCCACCTTCCGACTTCCTTATAAATTCTTGAAAAGTATATAAAAAAGGTGGTTTTATTAATATTTTAAAGTACAATAAATATTTAAAAGAACATTGGTACGATAGCAAGCCGGTGTTTAGTATTCTGGTAGATTAAAATTACCAACTCACGATCAAGTAGTTTTTTCCCAAGATACCTTTCAATCTAACGAACATTAGCTGTTTGTTCGACATATTATTACATAAACAACAACAAGTGTTGGAAATTGGTCAAGGCCGAAGTCACGAGGCCTAAAATATACAAAATGATCGGGCGATACGGACAACAGTATCTAATATAATAGAATATGACAATCTTTATTGATCTAATATTTACAAGATTAAATCTATCTAAAATTACATATTATCTAATAAACCTAATCCACGCGGCATGGTGCCAAGAACGCTAGCTGCATTTCCTCGTTGAATAGTTATGCTCAACCTTTGCGCGAGAAAAGAACCAGCTCTCTTGCTATATTATGAGCACATGAGTTTGGCGAACTCTTTGTAAAGTATAACAGGGTTTAAATACAAACTGATATAATAGATTAACTGCAACCTAATTTTTCGTTTTTCTTTTTCTTAACATTGCCCTTACTTTAAACATTTTCAACACAGGATAACATTATCCTGTGTTGTAACGACGTTTTACAAACATAAATTTCACGTGAGCAAACACCCATATGCGAAACAACTTTCTGTGGGTCACTCAAAACAGTTATTCCGTTAGGGAATCGAACCCAAGACCCGCGGCGCCGGTGCCAATACCTTGGCAACTGCGAGACACATTTTGCATACGCCCGGACAACGTCCCTCGGTACTGTGCGTGAGCACGCCTCGGAGAAGGATAAACCTTCCCCGATTCCCTCGCCATCTTGCAGCAGCTCGAGACCACTTCGTGTTGCTACCAATCCGTGTCCCCTTTTAGTCGCCTTTCACGACTGGTAGGGGACTTAGCCCTATTCTATGAGGCCGAGACTACGGGGCTGATATTTGAACAACTTAAGTCAAAATCTCGGTAGACACCGATGATATTGTTCATTTTAAGTGCTGATATATCACATGCTCAGCGGAGAAAGACAAACATCGTGTTTCAAAATATTCGAATATAATAATGTGAAGTAAAGTCCGAAAATCCGCAATGAGGTCGCGTGGCGAACTATGCCCCAATACTCCCCATACAAAGGAGACCTCTGTCCGGCAGTGGAATATATAGGCTATACTTTTAGTCGGTAAGAGCTTTGGTAAACAGTGACTTTAGGTTTTACCCAGTCGCAACCTTTGACAACCACATAAGGATGCGATAAATCGCAAGAAGTGGAAAGTTGTCAAACGGCACATGGTAACTTATTGCAAGTCATTAGCGACAACAAGATAGACGTCATTAACGGCAACAGAGGAAAACGCCGTGAGAAAATCAGGACGTCAGTGAATACAAAAAAATTCTCAGTGTCATTTTAAATGCCGAGAAAATGATAAGAATCTAGACAGTTATGAAAAAATGAACGAAAATATTAGCTGAAATCGTTATTTAAGTACATGCCTTCAGAGCTAGAGTAGTAACCAGTATAATTTATATTATTATACTACTATGTACCAATATATACGAAGTAATATAATTCATGAACATGCGGAAAGTGTAAATATTTTTCTAAATAAAGATAATTCACTAAGTTTCTAATATTTTACAGAGTTCGTGGTCAGAGGATTGTACCACAAAATCCGTTAAATAGTTTTACTTATCAAAACCAATTTGAGGAAACACTAATAAATCATTGATTTTTTTATTTCACGTGATGATGAAAAGAAAAAAATATTGACACAAATATAGAGTAATGTATTTCATACATCGTAATTTCTTCGTATATTATTTCTCATATCGTCTTCAGTATCGTATTTCCCTTGTAATTTCTTATATTATTCAACAACTATTTAATGGTATGTTTCGCAATAAGTACATGTTAATTTTTTCTAATTATCAATCTAATAAGGCATAGATCTACAATGTAATAGATACGGGGCTAGAATGTGAGAAAACGGTTTACATAAAACTGAAAAAAACATTACTTATTAAAGAGCGATTAATGAGCGAAATTCGAATCCAAGAATGCGTTTAGGCAGCGAACTACAACCACGCTGCTGTCCCAACATGTTCAACTTTTAAAGTTGTAATTCTCATGATCACAATTATACACGCTCAACCACTAACCGCCTGGCGACTTAGAAACTTTTTGAAAAAGAAAATTACCATATTTTCAATCTCTCTCGGTCCGTCCCTAATGTCAGTTTTTTGGACTTTCTCCAAAACCGTATGCTACCTTTCCCTAGGCACCGTTAAAAAACGAAACCACGCAGTTAAACAACCGGTTATTACACTGTACATTTCAAAATGACCGGTGAAAACAGTTACATTGTCTATTTGGTCGGCTCCTTGTTTTTCTAAGCCTATAACGGAATTCCTATGGTAAGTAAAAGTAGTAAACACAGCTTATATTATTTAAGTAAAAACAATAAATTGATGACTCCGTGGTGCAGTCGCCAAAGTATTGGTTTCGGTGTGGGGTCGTGGGTTCGATTCCCACACGGGACAACTATTTGTGTTACCCACTGATGTTGTTTCGCATCTGTGTGTGTGTCTTCGTGAAATTTATGTTTATAAAACGTCCTTACAACACAGGATAATGTTATCCTTAATTATGAGCAGTGCTTCAAAATAAGTGTAAACAATATATACAGATCAACTTGTTGAAATCCATAGCCATAACAATCTAGGAAAAGCGACTTGGCCACACAAAGGCAACGAGACAAACGGTGGAGACCGTTACAAACGATACAACACAGCCGCGGTAATATAATATATACAGTTAGAAAACAGAGAAAGCAATTGACACGGAATGGTAATGTAACACACGTCGAATTAAATTTGACCCAACTCGCGTGTCGGATGTCGGACGCGAGGTGGAGCGTTGCGTTTCATCAGAGGTATTAATTACGTTACGACCTCACATCCCGTGTCCGCAGTCGGATATCTTGTACCGGTCAGTTACGAATAAATAATATTATCAACTATAATTGTCATGGACATATCCGCTGTGATCTATCCATCGCTATACGTATGTTATTTCTCAAAGGTGTTTTAGTCGGAACGCCATAACCTCCGTATTTCTTTATCAAATTTCAGGATTCGCGTGGTGTACTATGCCCTGATACTCTCTTTACAGAGGAGGCCTTTGTCCAGCAGTGGGACATATATGAGCTGTTACTTTTTTTTAAATGTATAAATGTGTTACTTTAGTTAATTAAACTCAAAATCGAGTGAAATGGTAGCCTAAATAATTAGGCATTTCGCTTTTACCCAACTAAGCCAACATTCCGTGAACTGTAAACGCATTGTTAAGATTACATTATCATAACCGACGGTGAAAGTTAAAAGTAGCCCGGGCCAATAGCTAGCGATAGAGGAACGAGCGTAATCTGAAAAGTGAAATTAAGTTGGACCGCAAATAGCAAAGAATTTTAAGTAGCCCCATCACTTGTGAAAATGTGACGAAGCCAACGAATTTAATTTGGCTTGGAACCAGTTTTATAAAGGTGTTATCTTTTCCCGTAGCTTAAATGACTAATCGTGGAATTTAACTGTGGTGTGACAGCAGCCTTCGCTGTTGCACGAATGGGCAGGTCCGCCCTGTAACGTTCGTCTGATGATTGAGGCAGCCGGGGCCCACTTTATTAAAAGGTGGCAGCTCATATGCAACCCTACGGGTGTTGCAAATGTCCTTGTGCTAACATTAGGCCGCATTAACCGCAAGCCCGTTTACCATTTTCTCACATAAAAAATGGTAAATCGTTATTGTCCTTTCAGCATTTCTTACCGGCGGATAACGAATCCAATCAGAAAGTCTATTCTTCACGTGCCATTTGATAGTAATCGATCGCTTTCATCAATCTTTCAAGTGTTCCTGTTGTTAAACTCGTCCGGGTACACACTAAATATCTACTTAATAAATGAATATTCTTGAAAGACTTTTGCAAATTCATTTCAAATTCGTTAGTCGTGATATCAAAACCAATCAGCGAAAACAATGTCTTAAATATTTGGATAAAAAATAATACAAAGTTTTTGAATGATGTAAAAAAACAGCTGTGTAGCTCCCACAAGAAATAAAAACCTTTAAAATTTGATCAAAGAAAAGTATGTTTATCATTTACCTTATGCTCAAAATTAAAGCTTAGCTTTGTTTAGCACTAGGTAAAGAGTAAAAACACGGCCAGAAATATTTATAGTATTATTCAAAAGTATTGTCACAAGTATTTCACGTATCCAATATTAAATTTTCAGATCACGGTCACCGCCTGTGTTAGGGCAGAGACACAGCACGAACAGGAGCGGGGCCTGATGGGCAGGAAATCTAAGGGGCAGCTCGCTAAGCGAGACGCGGCCATGCACATGGACCGCTTCCAAATCCAAAACCTATTCAAGCACCGGCCCAAATTCATCTACAAAAGGGTATCAAACCAGCGTTACAGGACCACAAAGCCCAAGTACGCGGTCACGCGGACCAAATACACCGTGAAGCCGAGCCGGAAGATCATGAGGAGGTACAGGAACAGCGTCAACCCCAAGTACGGCCAGCCGAGCCACTCCAAGCGGCCGCCGAAGTTCCGCTACGCCCACCAGAAGGCGCCCAGCTACAAGTCCGCGAACAGTCCGCTAAACAGGAGCCCCGGTCACTACGCAGCAGAGCAGACGGGCTTCGGTGAACCCCCGCTGGATCAGCTCGAATATCACTTCTCGTCGCACGGCGAGGCGAACGCCTACGCGGCCCCGCAAAAGGCGAGGGAAGCGGCTCCATCCCTCCCGCAAATGCTGTCCGACCCCATAGAAGTGGACCACGACGATTACGACGAGCAGGTACAAAAGCTGTGGCACCCGCAAGACTTGAGCGACGACGCCAATTTCGCGCCGTCGTACAAGCGGCCCGCGTACGTCAAGGCCCGGCGCGGCCACGGGGGCCTGCCGTCCGACAACCCCAGCGCCTACATGGACTTCTTCAACTACGACAGGCCGCTGAAGGCGGACCTAAGGAAGAGAAAGAGGAAGCAGAAGCGCAAAGAGGCGATGGTAGACGGTTCGCGGACGCAGGGAGTCCGCGCCGTGGAGCGTCCGGAGCCGCAGATAGTGGTGGGCGGCCGGTACGCCGAGCCGCCGGCGAGGTACTTCCCCTACTTCAACAGGAACGTGCCGATGACGCAAGAGGGGGGTGACTTCGCTCTCGCCGACGAAGCGGTGGACCCGGACGTGACGTCATCAGCCACCATATCGCCGTACGTCAACTACAAGAATGGCAACGTGGCCTTCAGTCCGCAAAATCTGAACGATGCATTTAGTATAGTCGATTAGGCGATTCAAATATTTTCTTTCAAAGAAAGCAGATAGCAATTACTTTAATAACATATCATGCGCTCAATTAACTTCTGAGATATAGGGTAAGTTATTTATTGTGTCTTGTTAGGGCACGCAAATACCCACCTAAGTTGTATACCTATAGTAACCATGGGTTCGAGACCATACGATAAGAGCCAAACGGAAGATAAGATATTTTTTAAGAATGAGATATCAGGCAACTTTGACCCCCCCCCCCCCCCCCCCCCTCATTCCCGTCACTCCCCCGTCGTTAGTATCCCGCTACCGTTTTAAGTAGTTGCTAATACTATTCACAGTAATTTATTTCAGTACCGTAATTCATTCAAACTTTGAATTCATCAAGAATATGAGGAAAGGTCCTTAGTATTTTTTAATAAAACAATGACAAAGAAAATAATTCAAAGTAAACCTTAAATTCTTTACATGTGCTTCGCGTGGCTTACAAGCATTTTTAATTAAGAATTCTTTATAATATATATAACAGCTTCAACACTATTATTGTCAATTCCCAGTAATAAAAAACGATATATATAACAGTATTAATTTTATATCAACAATACATGCGTCATTTATAACTAGGTTAAATTAGGGTTTCGATTGATTAAAAGTTCTTCGCAAATGCGCACAGATCGAAAATTTGCTAAATTATTTGTCAAAGATTTTATATGCTGTATGTATAGATTGATGAATGATTGAGATTAACTTATTGAAATAAGTTTTAATTAACTTATTACCGTTTGAATTTTCAAATGGTGATGTCAGTTTTCTTAAGCATTTATCCAATTAATTCGACAAGAGCGTTTTTGTTTTGATGTGCAATAAGTATGCTTTTATCAAGCAATGTATGTACATATATAATAGAAATGTATGCAATAAACTTTTTAGTAAATCGTGCTATATTTCATTTCCACGTGTTATATGTGTATACTAGCGGACCCGACAGACGTTGTCCTGTACACGTCTTAAGTCCGACAATTTATAAATAAAAAAAATAATTAAGAAACGTTTTGTAGTGGACTGAATTGTGAATCTAAACCATTCTAGAATCCACTTGAATACTGAAATTTCATCAAATACGGTCCAGCCGCTTAGGAGAAATTCAGACACGTACAAACACATTGACAGAATAATTATAAATATACAGATTATGTAGTTACTATTTTTGGATTCCATACACAGCTCATACGAGAAATAAATTGGATTGAGACATCGTGCCACTTACCAGATTCCCCAGAGGATTAAATTTGAGCATCATCTCATTTCCACCAAACCACCACAGCTGTGACCTTATCTTGGTCTTGGACCTTATCTTGAGGCATACATAAATTTATACTTCTTCAACAGATCTTTTATTTTTTGTAACGTCACTAAGATTATTCATTAGTTATTAGATTTTAGATTAGTCATTCATTATTAGATTAGCCTTCACACATTTTACCATTTATTTTACCAACGTAAAAGTGTAATACTGCCATTTCACGATCTCCTATGAATTCGCTGCACCTTCCCAGATGGGTCTGCCCATTAGCAATACCAGGAGCTGCTACGTAAATAATATAAACCATAGATGCCCGAACATAATAAAACAAACCATTTTTCTATCATTTACCATGCCTGTTTAGTTAAAAAGGTGATGAATCTCCATGCCGAATAGAAACACCCAATTTTGCTCGTAAAACTAGAAAAAACGGAGGAATCTTTAGCACTCATCCAGTCATCACTTAGTCATTAAGTATAGTTTTCATACTGGAGGACTTAATGACGCAAGACCATTATCAGTCAGCTTGTTGATATATTTTACTCTTTTTCGACAGCTTCACAACCTCGACCTCTTCCAAATACTTTGACACAAACAATAAAACACTGATACGATCTAATACTATATTATCAAGAAGCTTAAACGAATTTCTATCAAAAGCTTAATCGGACGACGCGGCTCAACACACAACATTAACAAAACTATAGTAAACAATTCCCATACAAAAATACGATAAGACACTTCCTAACACTTTCCCGTAGTTGGAGGCTGTTTGGCAAACACTGATCGGATCGAGTCGCGGCAACGGACAACAAGTAAAGGGGACATAAAATACTTCACCACGTGGCGGGTGTTTGTTTGAACGTCAATTTATTAATAGGGGTGGACGCGTCATCGTCTGTACTTCCTCTTCCTTCTTATTCTTGGTGGCTGGCCAAGGGTGCGCCTCTTCTTTCTGGCGTTGCCGCAAGCAGCGCGCGCCGCCTCGCATGCGCTGTGCGCAGCCTGTTTAGTGGCCGAGCACTCGGCACAGGCGCACTGCAACTTGTGCTGCAGATGCGCCAACCTCGCCCGCGCCTCAGACAGGTTGTGGCACTTCTCCTGCAGCCCAAACTTGGTCTTCTCCAGCACGTTGTGTGCGGTCTTCTCGAGCTGCGCGGCGAGCTGGGTAGCTTGCACCATCAGCTTGTGCTTGTGTGGAAGTTAGGTAAATGTCAATTAGTTAGGTCCACGCTGGTCCACAGAACAGTTCGCCGTTGCATGAATGGGCAGCTCCGTCCGGGCCAGTACCGGTGGAAGTGTTACAGGTATTTCTGCGTTTACACTGGTGAGTGAGGCAGCTGGGGCTCACTTTATTAAAAGGTGGCAACCTACGGGTGTTACAGATGCCTATGGACTGAAATTATCACTTAATATCATGTGAACCGTCAGTCCGCTTGCCACCTTGTCAGGTAAAAGTAAATTCAAATGTTTGGGTCAAACCACGTCAGATTTACCTGTGCGGTCGCTTGCTGCGCGGCTTGGACGGCGGCGTTGACAGTGCCTTGTTGCTGGTGCACCGCCGCCGTGTTCTCAGCGACCACAGCCTCCGCCTCCTTCACCTCCTGCTGCAGCTGCTCCACCACAGCTTGCTTGCCAGCGAGTGCCGCCTCCGCGGCCTTCGCGGCCTGTAGCGCCTTCTCTGCCAGTTGGGTCTTCACCTATATCAGAAAAATATACCCAGAGTCGTGAAAACACGCAAAGATGACCAAAGAGAATCGAACAAACGGTTCCACTGCAAGGCGATAAATTTCCCGAGACAAAGTAATAGCCTGTACTTATCCCACTGGTGGGCAAAGTTCTCCTCTGTAGAAATGGGTATAGTCCACCACGCTACCCCACTGCGGATTGGCGGACTTCACATATCTTCGAAATATTCTCTTCTGTTATTATTTCGAGAATACAGGTTTCCTCACGATGTTTTCAAACATCGCTGAGCACGTGATAAGTCAAAGTTTCACCAATTACTGACTTAAAATTAACAATTTCATTGGTGCCGAAACCGGGGATTGAACTCGTGTTACTCGAGTATATGGGAATAAAAGCGAGCGCCCAGACAATGAGCTGTGACGGCTCGGTCTAACACAAATCCGAAGTTTTAATAACATAAATCGACCTGTCCTGACAATATCAGTAATCATGATACATGAAATCAAAATGTCAAAGTCACAATAGTGTTCTTTGTCAACGGGATTATATTAGGATATTTCATTACAATATCGTCTAGCTATACAACAGTGCATCAAAACTCTTGACATATTTCATTCATTTGATTCCTTATTTCGGTTGACACGTCTTCTTTTGGAAAACCTTTATCTTCGAAATATTCAAGCGCAGCTCACTGGTATTTTTTATAGTTTTAGAAATCAAAGTCCTCTCGCCGTGTGGCAGAATTATCTCCTTACCATGTGTGCCGCCTGGGCACCTGCGGCGTTCTGAGCCGCTTGCGCCGCCTTCGCCTCTGCGGCCGCCTTCTGGGCAATATTCGTCGCACATTTACCCTTGCAATCCCTCGGCGCCTCCCTGACCACATCCTTCCGCCTTAGTGCCTGCTGTTTGCTGGGAAGATCCGTCCGTCTGTCTGGTGCGCCGAGCGCCGAGGCAAACGTCAACAGCAGCCACAGCCAGAGCCTCATCGGGACTCCTAAGTCCTACCAGGCTATGTCGCAACTTTTTATCGCCCGCGATTCGCCAATTCTCCTCATAAGTGCTGCCTGATTCTATTTACAGCGTGGTAAAGGGTGGGATTTTACTTTTAGTGCAGCGTGAAACGTGTTTCAACAAGACAAACAAAACGCTATCGGAACGTATGTCACCCTGACGTTAAGTACTAGCTCGTTCTAAATTAAAAATGCCATCGTATATGGATGTGAGACGTGATGTGTTAAAAGGAGACCTAGCCGACTGACCGAAAGTGCAAATTGTAAGAAACTCAAAATTAGCCTTCCGACGGAACATGACAAGTGTTACTTTTTAATTCTGATCACACATCTAGAACGGGATGACGTGTTAAAAACTCTTTGGTCGTTTAATTAAAACTCAATTGAAGCCGGACATGACGATAGTAAAGACCACAAAAATAACAAAACGGAAAATTTAAATGTCCTATGTAAAATAAAAAAAATATTTTCACTAAACATTGATATTGTTAATGAAGGGTTCAAAAACTGTGTTACGAGTTAAATTTGCAGCGAGATGTGAGATTGTTAAATAGAAAGAAATATACAGAAAACTTGTATATACTAGATAAAACCTATTATACCTAAGATATTAAAAAGACTAAAGTGTACCATAATCGACTATACCAAAATTAAAACCAGCCAAGTGCGAGTCGGACTCGCGCATGAGGGGTTCCATGCCATTATCTATTAAAACGACAAAAAAATAATGTCTGTTGTATGGGAGCCCAACTTAAATATTTGGGTACAGAACCCTTAAAATTGATAAAAAAGACGTCCGATACCTTACCAATAAAAAATTAGGACAGAAGCAAGCATAGCAAAAATGCTAATTGCAACAAAATAAAAACATATTTCCTCTTAGTACACATAAGGCCTCTTTGTCTACGATCTTCTTTGACGTCTATATTACTCTAGGAAGAAAAAAGAAAAACATTCAAACCGAACTGTCAGTATGGATCGCCTGTGAAGAGAAATCGTTTTTTTTCGTAAAAATTTTGAAGTCCTTTAAAATTATGCGTACAGGGCTGTAATTGCTAGGCGTCGAAGATTACCTCGTTATTTTCGGCCGCCATATGAATTATTGTACGGGGCACGACAAAAATTGAGGTCAGTACAATCTATTGTTTTATTCATTTGTTCTTATGTTTGAAGTTAAAATTGAAAATAGTAACGATGGTTTCGTTGATGAGCTAAAGAGATATTAGTGGTTTCTGCCAATCTAGAAGTGAGTGAGCATGTCAGTAGCACAGAGCAGGAAGTTGAAGGCAAGTCTTAACGTAGCAATATAAATTGTTACAGATTTGTTATTGTTTGCTGTCGAATGTTACAGAAACAAAGTCAAATTCGAAGCCATCATCAAAAGTTTAAATAAAATATTGTAGTATTCCATAATAACACTGTCGTTAAGTCTGTATCTAGAGATTAATGTATTTCATGGTGGAAACAATTCATATTATTTATTTTACCGCAAATTTCTTTTGCTTACAGATGCTTTTCACCCAACCAATTAATTGCAAACTTGACATGTTAAACCTAATCAGGAATGTCATCCATATTTTGACGACGCTTATTCAGTCCGAGTTTTCTTTTGTATGCACCGGTTGCCTGGGACTCTTACGATATCGTCCATCTAGTAGAAGCCAGAGGTTCTTGGTCGCCACTCGACAACTTTCGGCAAATTGTCGTTCGTTGTGGTGTTCTAAAGGGTAGACCTTTGTCCAACAGTAGACGTCTTCTGGGTGTTGATGATGATTATGATTATTCCAATCGAGACCAAATGCCTTTTTTGTGAGTAGCTGTTATTTCATCTCATGTTAAGTGATAAGTGCCTCCCCCATGGACATCTGCAACAACTGAGGGGTTGTAGATGCATTGAAAAATTTAACTTTTTCAAAGTGTGCCCGATTACCTCGCTCTCCAGAAGAAACGCGAAAGTATAATAGTCCCAATTCGCGCCGGTCTCCTATGAGGCCGTGGTAATCCTCGGCTGAGCCTGCCCATTCACGCAACATTAGATGCTGCTGCGTGGCCCCATCACCAGTAAAGTTCACTCAATAATATTGATTTCTCTCCGCAGTAATTATAACTCACAACGTGTTGAAGCTAGTGACGTCCGAAGCGGCCCAACGTGGTGTTCGGGCGTGGCGCGAACCATGATTTGCATCTCACTGTACGCCCTGATCGCCTCAGCCACGATCCTAGCGTGCGTGCCCGTCTGCTACCGGCAGTTTGAGATGAACAAATTCATCAAGTGCCTGAAGAAGTAGGCGCCGCCCGCGATGATCATCTGCGTCTCGTGCATGACCGCCATGATCGCCGTCGGCTGCATATCGTGCGTCCCCATTCTGCTGGACACCTACTGGCCTTGCAACACGTGCAAGCGGCCGACGGAGACCCCTAGCGGAAAGAACAACTGCTGTCCTAAGAAATCGAAGAGCGGCTGACAATGTTTTGTGCGCACCGTGTCCGAGTCGTTCCAATAAAGTCCCCGAAGTTGTCACGTTGTTTTAATTTTTAAAACGGATATAATTTCAACAAAGCATTGGTCTAATAAGATTTAGATTGGCAAACAGGTTCGGTAAGTGGTCTAATCTATCCAAGTTTAATTAGTGATGTGAGCTACGAACAAAAGTTGCCAACCTTCAAAATGGAATCTGGTTACCAGGCTCCAAGAAAAGTCGAGATAATAGAAAGAGCATAGTACATAGAGCATATTCAAATAGTAGGTCTAGAAAATTAGAATTTTGGCCAGTCTTCTGAAAGGATGCGGTAAACTCGGCTTTACTCAGAGAATGGGGTGTATTCTTGCAGTTCTTCCAATCAACGTTTTTTGAACCCAAAGAATTGTTTTTATGTACGTCCATCACAATATTCTTTTTTGTGTCAACAAAACTCAATAACTAGCTGATGGATAGATTTGATATCTGTAAACATCATACCTATTGAACAGGAGACTGTTCAAACTTTTTCTACTTTTTATACTTCCGATATTCCAAAGGAAACGGAAAAAAAGCAATAACTAATCGTGACTGGGTTCAGCTAGGAATCTTCAATATAAAAATGTTACCTCGGTGGGTGCCCGTTTTTAAATTTTAGGCGACATACCTGCATTGAAAGAAAGCCTAAATTTATTAGCAATTTAAATGTTACACATTTGTAGTTTTTACGACTTAAACTAAGGTATGGTTAGGCCAGCCATGTGAATTATTTAAAATGCAAGTGTTTAAAATTCAAATCCTCATCATCATCATCATCATAATAAGCCGCAAGACTCCACTTTTGACAAGAGTCCACTCTTGAACACAGGCCTCCCCCTTGGAACGCCACAACGAACGACACTGCATTTCCATCCCCCGCAAATACAAATACCTATTTTTATTTAGCATTTGAAATACTTTTTTGAAAATGTATTTTCTATTTTATTTGAAATACTCCATACAAATATTTAGTGTTTCAAAATGAAAAATGATTTTGTTATGAAATGATATCGATTGCTAATTCATAGTTCATTTTTAGTTGTGAGACACGTGACAAACGTTAATTAATAACCGCCACCACATGCGTTGCCACCGTATAAGACAGTGGGTCCCGGCTACCTCACTCACCAGGCGAAACGCAGAAGTGTAACAATTCTACTTGACACCAGTCTTCTGCGGTCATGATACTTACCCTTGACGGACCTGCCCATTGGTGCAACAGCGAAGTCTGTTGCGTGGCTTTAGCATTGTTTATGTTGAACCTAGCCTGCATTTTAAATAATGATTAGATATTCGGGGGAAATCTCTTACGGTCTGTCTGTCTTACTGTATACTTAGTTATTTGTGATCCCAATTTAAAACTTTGTTTGATATGTCAACGCCTACAACTCCGATAGCGGCAGTTTCAACCTTGGAAGTATTATCAATAATGAAAATTGACAATCTTGCATTAGGGTAGACTAGACTGAATATAGCTGGGCTCAATCCTAGATTATTTTCAACAAAAGCTAGACTTCAAGCACAAGTTAGTTCTCTCTGCTGTTCGGCACTTCGTTCGACGTATTCCTGGGAAATATTTTCCGCAACTGGTTTATGAGATTATATACCGTACTCACAGAATATACAAGCAGCGTTTAAAAGTTTAAAATGTGCGCTTCACGGGCTTGTCGGAAAAACAATTACTTTCCAACACAGTAAGTAGGTATGAAGAAACCTGTAGAAAAGAACTTATATGTGAGACCTGTATTGCAAGAAAAATTTAATATAGGCACGCTCGAGACCGGCAAAAAGATTTCGCTGTCAGTAATGAAAAAATAAATTTGAATTTTGAAAAGTAGCAGAAGAAAAATGACATGTCAGCTGTCGTGAACTAGGAAATTTTATCAAACAACATGAAAGTGAAATTATTGTGGAATATTGTTGACATTATCATGTTAACAGGACTGTCGTTTAGCGTTTGAGATCCTGGCATCGATCAGACGCGGGGTCTGAAGCAGTAGGCGGAAAATAGTAGGTGAAAAGTTTCTCTGTATGGTACCTAGCGCCGTAGATTTACTTCACTATAACGCATTGAGGTGTAGCACATTTGTGATGAACGTGTCGAAACAATAATTCGAGTGAGGACTCGAAGATTTAACTTGATACGTTGAGAATGTACATCATACAGAATACGTCTCAATTATTGTTTCAGATCACGGTCACCGTTCATGGCCATCGATAGCTTTGTGTTTCAATACTGCGAAAAAAAAACCGGCTTTATATCGTACGGTGCCCAATGGCCGCGTTCTCGTCCATTTTGACGACGTTATTTCTCTTATTCGTTGTGCCCGTAGTCGTTGAGAAAGCCTTTAAAGTATACAAGAAGTGATCAGTTGAAATTTCCAGTCGCGTCCTTAGCTCTCGCGTTGAGATGATCAAGTGAGTAACTGTATAATACAAGCTTTCAAGGGCGTAACTAGGCTCCGGTGCGTAAGGAGACCTAAGGTGTGCGTTATGAATTAAAGAAGAACATTTTATTAAGGTCAACCTCGAGATTCAGCACAGTACCTTTTCAAGACCACGCACACTTTCAATCTTCTACACTTTGATTGCGAATGCATGGGGAATGTGAAATTGCTAGTCTTGTAATTTTAATACAACTTTATTTTCTATGGCTATTTTTCGGTATTGTTTGTCCACACGACCTGTTGATGATGTTTGTCCTCAGACATTATTTCTCATTAGGGATTTTATCCTTAGGGCCGCAATGCTTAATGCTAAAGGGGCAGTTCTCAGTTCTTCCCATTCTGCCCGCATTCGCTTCTGCCCTCGGAAACTTTGTGGAAGTTTGTTGTCGTAAATTTAGTGACGCGCCCTTTCTATTTCAGACACGAAAGTGTTCCCGCCTCGCATGATTTGTGTTTCCCTGCTCAGTCTGATCTCCGCTGGCGTCGTCCTCTGCTGCATGCCCGTTTGCACCCGCTGCGTGTTCCGTCACAAGTGCTGTTGCCCCCAGAAGCCGGTGTGCCCCGACTGCGGCCACATATACTGATCGCGCGAGCCGGTACCGTTTTGTATTTGACGCCTATCCTCCGGTTACGGGGAGTTAAGATGATCGCCATGAGCATATGGACCGCCCTGGTGGCCGCCGGCCTGATAGGGCTCGGTCCCCTGGCCTGCGAGAAGGTGATGAGATGCTGCCTCCAGGCCGGCGTGTGCAAAAAAAAGTGAACGTAGACGCTTCGAGAGTGGAATTGTCGGGTGCACTGAGCAGTTGGAATAAACATATCGCTAACAGTACAGTCTTGTCATTCACTACAGCCCTCCCCGGTCCTTGGTCGGCCATTGTTATTGGTCTCGCCGTACATGAGACGCACTCAAACGTATTAAGCCGAAACATTGCGAAGGAATCACAAAAATTCATTTATTATTTAAGATTTTAAATAGTAAGATTTGTTAGTCAATTGAATCACACGCTCACATGTGATGTGGGTTTTTCTCGGTAATGAGGTGCCTTACCATGTACAGGTTTTAACACGTCGAAATGACTATACAGTGTTGCAAATGTCCATGGGCGGTGGTTATCACTTAACATCAGGAGAACTGCCTGCTCGCTTGCCACATTCTCATATAGAAAAATTTGGCATTTGGATGTCGGGAATTATTGCGAGAGTTTGCCACATTGATCCATTTACCCAAAGATTGATCGGCAATCTAACGCTACCAGTTTCCACGCAACGCTTAACAGATCTTGCCCCCCATAGTATCAGAGTATTTGAACCCCATCCTCATGTTGGTACCCTAACGAGTGATCCTCAGAGAGACCGTCTATCGTTCGCAGGCACTCTCCGGACTTGTACTGCGATGATATGCATGAGCGTGATGACGGCTGCGACGGCGGCCAGCCTCATACTAATCGGGCCGCTGCTCTGCGACAAATTCCTCAGGTGCGTCTGTTCCAAGAAAAAGTGAAATAAATATGTCACACTAAATCTTCTTTCACTTACTCCACGCTCTTTCCCTTACCTTGAAACTCAGTGCACTGACGATTCCCCCCTACTCCCTTTCCCTTACCTTTTAAATGCCCTTCGACCCTCCCTCCCCCCTCACTAACTTCCCTTGCCTGTTTTTGTTACCATTTTGGTTATCCTCCAAGGACACTTCCAGACTGATTTGTATCAATCAATTCTATGATAGGTACATTAGCTCCTACTAATCTATCATTTTAACCGTAATTTTTTGTAGAACACTGTTCGTTAACTCTTTGTGCACAGCCTCAATGCATTTTGATCTCTGGTTTCCAGCGTCTTCAGCGTCTTCTGCACGAACAGAACACAGTAAATGATCTTTTTTTATGTGAAAAGTTGTCAAGCGAGCAGGAGGTTCACCTGATGTTAAGTAAACCTTTAAAAATTGGCCTCCGGCTACCTCACTCACCAGACGAACCGCGAAAGTATTATACTCCCACTTTACGCCGGTCTTCTATGAGGTCGTGGTACTTCCCGGAAGAGCCTGCTTATTCGTGCTACATACGAGGCTGCTGCGTGGCCATACCACAATTCATCAAATGCTCTTCGCCACTCAGCATGCCATACTTTGGGAGCATCAGAACCTTAGTGGTATCGGCTTAATAGTGTGTGAGTGCGATCAAGGAGTCTATGGATATGCTTAACTCGACTTCCACTAACTCGACTAAGTATTATCCAATACAATGCTTACTTTTGCGATAAAAAACAAATGGCATTGACTATGTTTCAGTTAGCAGGGAAAATGTTTTATCCTGAAGCATGTCACTTCGTGACCCTGATCGACGGACAATTGGCCATACATGTACAATTGTACATGTAACTACAGTCAGCTCAATCAAAGCAGAAATCGAGAAACAGTATAGAACTCTGCAGCCACCGCAGGCTGGATGTAGATTTTTTTAGGGGAAAGTTAGCAGCGATCTGGCATTTCACCTGATAAACGATTCAAAGTCAAAATTTCGTTACTTAATACAGGCTTAATTCAAGCTCTTATTGAACGTTAACAAAGAAAACAAATTCAATTTCCAAAACCAGTTCAATAAACAAAACCTGTCCAGAGAAGAACCGGCAAGAAACTGCGGTCCTATCCATTTTTTTAATCAACTATACGCCATAACGCCGCTCGTGGACAATAATAATTATACCTGAAGCCCGATATACATTGGTAGTGTTTAGTACAGTAAGTACAGTAGTGTAAACGGTCGGATAGTGGCGAGTTGCAAGTTGCCTTTGTAATTACAGACATATTAAATGTATCAACCTGTTCATGACCCACTGCTGGGCAAAGGCCTCCTCTGTAAAGAGGGTATCAGGGCATAGTCCCCTACGCGGCCCCACTGCGGATTGGCGGACTTATCTTCGAAAATATATAGGTTTCCTCACGATATGTTCCTTCACAGTTGAGCACGTGATAAGTTAGCACTTAAAAGTAACAATTTCATAGGTGTTGGCACCGGGGTTCGAACTCAGGTTGCTCAAGTAAATTGAATTGAAGGCGAGCGCCCGGACACTGGGCTATCACGGTTTGTGAGCTATCACGGCTGTATATGTCATTAGTGTCAACTAATGATATATTGACACGGCCATATTCTAGTACTGTAATATTTGATCATGGCAATTTTTTTTACGTTACTATTTATATATTACTATTATATATTACTATTTATAATGGCTGTACTGTTAGAAGTTTGTTGTAAAGCTACATCAAAGTTGGTAAATTAATAGTAACAAACGCAAAGGCCTCTGTACAAAGAGTATCAGTCATTTAGGCACAGGATTAAAGAATGTAACAAATTTTTAGGGTTCCGTACCCAAACTCCGTACAAGACTCCGCTGTCTGCCTGTCCGTCTATCCGTCTGTCACCGGACTGTATCTCAAGAACCGTAATAGTTAGCCAGTTGATGTATTTTGATATATTATTTTATATCACAGGTGATGTATTTCTGTTGCCGCTATTACAAGAAATACTAAAAAAAAGGGAAAAAAAAAATATTTCATAGTAAATTTAATTCTCTGTACAGAGAGTATCAGTCATTAGTACAGAAATATCAGTCATATTAGGCACAGTGTACCACGCGGCCCCACTGTGGAATCGTGTATTTTACATAACATGTTCTAAATATCTTTGTTGTTATATCGAACATATACAGGTTTCCTCCCGATGTTTTCCTTCACCGCTTACTGCGTTTCGTCTGGTGGCTGAGGTAGCCAGGGCCCAATTGTTTGAAAGGTGGCAACGCATCATTTCTCTATTTTAAATACTAGTGTCTGCACTAAAAAAAAATATAAAATTGATATTAGAACAGTCCGCCATGCAGCCCCATAGACGATTGGAAGACTGACTATTGGAGATCATTTCCAAGGTTCTTCACTTGCACCCCCCCCCCCCCCCCCCCCCCACCCCCCCCCCCCCCCCCCCCCTCCGTAATAAAGAAAACCACGTCTAATAGGGAACAAGTTTAATACTAAACTAAAGCATACACCGTAATATCACTTGACTGAGTTCGCAACGCGATTGAGCAACGCGAAATAAATAAATAAGCACGGACCACTATAATATGACACACGTTTCCTAAGAGCCGACGCCGCCCTACGTGCCATTCGGGCTGGGGAATTCCGGCCCGAGCCTCGTCGGCCGCACGATCATCACCCTCTCGTCGTTCACCGTCTCCATCTCCCTCTCCCTCTCCCTCTCCCTCTCCCTCTCCATCTCGCTCTCCCTCTCCGCGCTGGAGCGGTGCACTCTCCTCGCCGGCGAGCTCACCTGCGCCTCGTCGAGCTGGTCGGCCATCGTCTCCCTCCTGGATTCGTCGAACGGCCTTATCTCTTGCTTCATTATGTCCACCAGCGGCGAACTGAAGGTGGTCAGCTCCAGCGGCCTGCTGGACGTCAGGGTCATTCGCCTTCGGTGCTTCCTCTCGATGGTGGAACTGTTCGAAGCGGTGACGTTGGCTCTGACGGCGACGGAAGCTTCCGCCGCTTGAGATGCTTGAGGAGTGGGATCCACCTTCGCGGTGGCGTTACCGCCCGCCAGCCCCCTCTGGCCCCGGTAGACGGGAGCGTCCGTGGTATACTGCTGCCTGCTCCTCTCGTCTACTATGATGGGCTGCGGCGTGATGATGTGCAGCCCCCCGGTGCTCTGCGCCGCCTTCGAGTCCTGGCTGTCGAGGATGTTTATCGCCTCCTTTATGCCGTTCACTTCCTCGGGCTGCATGGAGTTGCCTGAAAACCGAAGACTTTGTTCAAATGCAAACTATATTACAATGCGTAATTTGATCGCTCTATAATTATAGTCGGTTCATTAAATTGATTCGGTGTAATTTTCTTCTTGCTCGTACGTTTTAACAAAGTATTTTTTAAATTTTTAGGTCTAGACCAATACTAGATTCTAGCATTGGTTATTGCTATTTATCTAAATATTTATGGAAGACCTAGTGGTAGAGTAGGGACTTAGTAGTAGTCTAGATTACCAGTAGGTCTTCAACAAATCATAGTCTCATTAATAAGTCTACATTTCACAGTGGAGACACAAAAGTAAGACTACGGTACAAGTGTTAAATATCCCATATTTTATAATTTAATAGTGGTAGGGCCACGCAACAGTCTTCGCTGTTGCTTTGTTGGACAGGTCCATCCAGGTAAGTATCACGACCTCACAGAAGACCGGCATAAAGTGGCAGTGTCATACTGCGTTTCTTATACTTCTGCATTTGGTCTGCTGAGTGAGGTAGCCGAGGCCCGTTGTATTGAAAGCTGGCGAAACACATCTGCAACCCTACGGGCGGTTGTCACTTAGCATCAGGTGGACCGCCAGCTCGATTGCCCCTTTTCCAAAAAAAAAGAAAAAAAGGTAGCATAAGCCCACCGTCCTGCATCTCCTTCCTGTAGGAGGAGAAGAAGGTGAGCGCCTTCATGAGCTGGTAGCTCTTGGAGACGGGGATGTTGGTGTCGTACAGGCGCTCGGTGCTCTTGCAGTCCACGTAGAACCACCAGTTGCACTTCAGGATCGCCTGGTCGAAGAGGGTCGACTCGGGGCAGAGGAACGACTTCATCACCAGACCATCGTCGGTCAGCGCGCACACGTGGAACACCTGCAGCGGACCAGTTCCAAGGGTGTGAATGAATGAATGAATGAATGAATTAATGAATGAATGAATTAATGAATGAATGAATGAATGAATGAATGAATAGACTTTTATTGTCCACCACAAATTAAATTATACATAAAGGTGACAATAGAGTAACAAAATACCACATACAGTTTGGCGTAAAGTAAACGTATACTACGAAGGTGATGCAATTGGAACATACATAATAGATACAAGAGTAATATCTCTTTCGAAGACAGGTCAGTGTCTTTAAGCACCTAAGCAATGAGATATAAAACACAGCGGAACAGTGCCATGACGAGAGTCTCGTTCTAAAAAAGTTTGTGGCTCTAAACAGAAAGAGAATAAGCCGGGACCACATCGATAAGGTTTTTAGGAGGAATGAAATGTACAGATGTAATATAAATAAGTTGTTATTGCTAATTTATAGATACACGATAAAGCAAACAAAGATTTGGATGTTATTAATAAGAAAATACACACGTTTTTTAAATGAGATAATGGCAAAATGTGATAAAACAGCCTTCGTTCGTTATTTAGTTTGGTTAAATCGATGGTAATAAATTTTTTTTTTTCGTTTTATAATGGGCAAGCTAATGCTTGACTTTCCATCTGAATGTAGGTTTCATTCCAAACTTCTCTTTCCTTCCCTTGAAGACGGAAACCAGTCATATAGTTTACCATTTAGGTTTTGAATTACCTTTATGCAGAGGACATTTTATGGAATTGAGACGTGTGTGTCTGTATAGGTAGTTGTTGGTTGATATAACTTTTGATTTTTGAGACAAATATCAATTCCTCGTGATTTATTTTTTCCCCAAAAAACCAAGAAAAACTGAAATTTCACTTAGGAGTTCTACTCAAAAAATAGGTACTTGCAGATCGCGATTTACTCACCATGCAACCTAAGTTCTCATCCCCGTAGAGTCCGGGGAAGTATTTCTGGTCGCCACAATGGAAGCTGGTATCGGGCAGTTCGACCTTGGACTGGAAGTGGTCGTCGAAGTTCTTTTCGTAGCCGATTGGGTAGTACTCTCTAGGGGCGTTCATCACCTTGCCAGCGGTCGGGTTTCTGTGGATGATGGTGAAGATTTACTTCTATCTTAGCTATTTCTTGACAGGATACAACACCAAGAATTCTATCCTCTATATTATGATATGACATATTTATAAAAGTTAAACACCGATTCAAATAAGGATATTGAAAAGGTCCTCCCTAATATTTGTTATTTCTTAAAGATGTTTGTACATGTATGCTTTATTTAAACTAAGACATTTGCTAGATTTTAACTATTTTTATGATCACAAAAATACTTCAAAAATCAACATTCAATTTCAACGACCCAATTGGCGTAATGGATAGTCTGTCTCTTGCGCCAGAAGGTGAGGGTTCGATCCCCACTACTGGAAAAATATTGTGTGAAGAACATAGTGTTTTTCTAGTGTCTATACATGTATAGTATGTATTATTTACAAAAGAAAATGTAAAAGAACGTTCAAGTATGTTTATCAGCTACCTAGTATCCATAACAAAAGGTTTGCTAAGTTTGGGACTGGATAGCGTTTTGTAAAAATATGTCTTAAAAATATTTATTTATTTACTATTTAAGTTAGATTGCTTCCTACCTCTTTGGTTTCTGCTGGACGGAAGCGACGATGATCTCCGGTTCCGGCTGTTGGAAGACTAGCGGCGGTTCCGTTGCCGTGGTGGTGGTCGTGGTGACCGTGGTGACCGGTATACTGGCGTACTTGCTCAGCAATTGCTGCTGTCGGAGAGCTATTGCCGCCTCCACGGCCTCCGTGGAGATGTTCCCCGCCTTGGCTATCTCGGCTATCTTCTCGTTGATGTCCTCCTTGCTGAACTTCAGGGCGGTGTCGTCCCCGTAGCCGCTGATGGTGTTGTAGTCGTCCGCCTTCGTGCTTATTACTTGCCCCGCGTGGGCTTGGGGGACCGGGTCTACGGAGTTAGACAATTTGTGGGTGTTGAGATAGTCGGTGTTAGTGTTTCGGTGGGGCGTTATGACGGCGACCTCGGGCAAAGGGACGAACGGGTTGAGGGCGGGACTTGATATTGGGGCGGCGGGCGTGTGTTGACTGTACTGTACCGCCGTCATATGCGCCACCATCCGCGATATGTCGTCTGTGTTTGCTTTCTCACTTGCGAACGCGATCCCCGGTCCTTTGGGCTGTGCTTGCGGCTGGTTCTTCGTTATCGGCAGCACTTTGAGGGTGTCCTCTTTCGGCGGGAGCGGCCTGAACGGCGGCACGCCCATCGGCATCGGCTTGGCCAGTGTGATCGCGGGTCTAGCGGCGACGCTGGAGACGCTCGGCTGGACGACTATCGGTTGCATAGTGGAGGCACGGCGGTGCAGTGTGGACAGTTTGTCCATTGCCGCTTGGTTCGTTCGCGGTGGGGAGGGCATCGGTCTCATCATTATCCTGTTCTGTTTGGCCCGCTTCTGCAATTGATAGATTGTTCTTCTTCATCTTCAGAAATAATGCGTGTGTGAGGATGTGACGGTTTTCAGTTTTTATTTGTGTATAACAAACGTGAGACCGATATCTAAATTAATTTATTAAATTTCGTCTTGAATATATTGTCGGATTGTTATTTTAACGTGATTGACAATAATTTAAATCAGGCGGTAAATTTAAACACTGCTCTAAAAAGTCGTAAAATTAGTAACAGACAACTTAAGTTTCATGTCTAGACGAACTGATGAATATAGGTATTTTGTATTTGAAGCTATCGATCGAAAAATTGAATAATAACTAGGCAATTTCAATTGCATATGGACTTGATTTAACGTATGATCAAAAACAATTATAAAACATTAGCTTATACAGACTAACGCAGTGATGTGTTTAATAACATTTATTGAAAGCACATGGCGAAATAAGACTAATTATTTACCTATAAAATCCTAATGCAATGTTTTTGTAATACACTAATCTTGACATCACATCACATCATCAAAAAAACCTTATTACCACAATTCGTTAATTATAATAAAATTTTATAAAGTAAATTTTATATTACTTTATAAAATTCTTCTAATTAAATCCTGGTATTCAATTCGCCTAAATCGGATAAATTACCTCCTGCTTTGCGGCTGGTCTGCTAGGGGTGTCGACGATCACATTCGGCGCTCCGTTCTTGAAGCTCACCGACCGCCGTCTACTCGGATCCAGGTTGGTAAGCGACTGCTCAAAGCCAAGCTCATCTCCTAAGCTGAACCCTGGAAGGAAAGCGAACTGGTATAGTATGCTGCATTAAGTTATTTTTATGTGAGAAGATGGCATGTGAGCTATCGGTTCACCTGTTCTTAAGTGATAACCGCCTTGGACATTAGCAACACCCGTAGGGTTGCAGTTTACGATGCCAGCTTATAGTAAAGTGGGGCCCGGCTACCTCACTCAGCAGACGAAACGCAGAAGTGTGACGCTTCCAGTTCACGCCCGTCTTCTGTGAGGTTATGGGACATTTCTTGAATATTTGTTTTACTGCGGTGGAGTCACGCTGTTGCTGAATCAAGGAAGGGTTTGAGGGTACTACGGTGTAATGTAGAAGTATTTGTCTTATGTTTATGTATGTATTCGCCTGGAGTGACTCCCGGGTGTCGCTTTTTTTACGTATTAACTGTGGTAGGGCCACGCAACAGTTTTCGCTGTTGCACGAATGGACATGTCCGTCCGCGGAAGTACCACGACCTCGCAGAAGTTCGGCGTGAAGGGGAAGTGTTATACGTCTAAACACAGAAAGAAGGTCTGGTGACTGAGATAGCCGGGGCCCACTTAATTAAAAAGTGGCAACGCACCTGCAACCCTGCGCGTGTCACAAATGGGCGGCGGCTAACGTTGTGTGAAACGCCAGCTCGCTTGCCACCTTCCCACATTTAAAAAGAATCTACATTTGGACGGTAATACTATATAAAAATAAACTATACAAATGAATAAGAACAACCTACGACAATGATTTCTACTTCTTTCAAATGCGACACATTGTTTAATTGATATTTTAATAATTTATCACTATTCCCATCATCATCATCATCATTTCAGCCTGTTTGAGTCCACTGATGAACATAAGCCACCCACAGACTGCCACGAATTATTCCCTTGTATAAAATAATTTGAACGTTGAAAAGTTCGTTAGCATTTCTTTGAAATGGATGTGCTCAAAGAGTGTATCGTGATACGTTTGTTGTGAAAGTGAGAAAAATTGAGGTTAAGTGGTATGCGGTGGCGAAATTTTCCAAACAAGATGAACGCCCTTTTACGACAGAAAAGGATTCGATCATTGAGTAAGATGACCGTGAGTTTCAAGTATCAGGCGTCTGAGTCGCGGTTGCTAGGTTCGAATTCCGGTATTTAATTTATTAAAAGTAACTTCATAATATTACTGTCAGAAAACAATGTTTCTGACCTCCAGACGCTTCAAACGAGATTATTATCGTCTTTATTATAAGACTAACTGTAAATGTTTGTATCATTGTAACTAGTATATGATAATAAAAATATGTCTTATTTAATGAGAATATTTTGTAGATAAATAGTCTAAAAATTTTCATTGCTGCCGATTCCAAATTTGCGGGTTGCAAGTAACTCACCCCATAGCACCAAACTGAGGTAAGCACCCAAAATTCTCATAGTAAAAATACACTATTGCATTTGAGCAATGCTTTGCACCATGTAGTGTGCATACTTACAGCCGACACTTTTCAAATATCGTTTTTACATTGAACATCTAAACGAGAGATTAAATTTGGTAGTGCCATGCAACAGTCTTCGCTGTTGCAACAATGGGCAGGTCCGTCCGGGTAAATACCACGACATAACAGAAGACCGGCGTGTAGTGACACGTCTGGAGAGTAAGATAACCGGGGTCTACTTAATTTACAGGCAACGCATCTGCAACCCAACGGGTGTTGCAAATGTCAATTGGCGGTGGTTATCGCTTAACATCAGGTGAACCGCCTGCTCGTTTGCCACCATCTCACATAAAAAAATAGATCGCCTTAGACGTATCTCTTATAATTCATTTAATTATCAATAAAAATAAAGAATGAAAGAAAATACGTTTATTAAAAAAATAGGTGTCGTCGTTTTTTTTGTGTAACGACGAAGGCCCAGAACTTTTGGACAGGGAGGTAGGAAGGCGGTGAGTAGATCGGTGCTTTTAACTTTTCACGGAAATATTTATATCCTTATTGTAATTGGTGACGAAGCTGTCGTCAAGCAATGTGAGACAAAGCTTATTGAACCAGAAGTAAAAAAAAACCTGCCACGTGCGGATCGGAATCGCGCCCGAAGGGTTCCCTACCATCCTTACTAATATTATGAAAGCGAAAGTTTGTATGTATGGATGGATGGATGTTTGTTACTCTTTCACGCAAATACTACTGAATGGATTTTAATGAAACTAAGAATAATATAGCTTATACATCAGAATAGGACATACGCTATAATTTGTATACATATTTTATGTATATCTGTCTTTCTGTCTGAATGTTACGCCTTCAGCCTATTCTACGCAGTCGCGGGCAGCAGCTAGTTATCTATAAAAACGGCAAAGTAATCATTCTGTTGTATGGGAGCCCCATTTAAATATTTTTTATTGTGTTTTTTTTTCTTTAACAGAAATACGTCTGTGAAAATTAAAACTGTCTTACTATCATGGTTCAGACAGACTTTAGACACTGCTTAGTATTAAGGTCCCGTATTACCCTTTGGGTACGGAACCCTAAAAACTAAGTTATTTCATACAACTGGAATTTAAAGCCGGTATTTGGTTGAAAAATCCCGTTTTCCTTCACTACTCGTTCGCGATAACCGCTTTACTGTGTTTTAAGTTTAGCATAGAAAGTGCATATCCAATCGTGGAAACAACGGAGGCGTTGACATAGAAAACGTCACCGGCCCACTGACTCAGTTGATGACCTGATAATCGATCCCGGATCTCAACCTGTCTTATTGCACGAAAAGGGTCCTCAAATATACATAGATACGTGTATACGTTGGTATTGTGTATTCACTCGATACTAACAAAAATTGATAAAACACCACAAATAAATTCTCATTGCCTCTTCAGTAGCAATCCTCTCGCCACAAACTTGTAATTAGCGTCTGGTTTTTATTCTTTTCACTTTTCCGTCTATCTGTTCTCTCTATCTAACTACCCGTTTCTTTATGATGTCTAATTGCACAAATAAGTAGTATTAAAGCGTCATGTACAATCAGGCTCTTACTTACATTCTTCTTAAGCTCTTAACCTCAACGGTCCGAACTCAAAAGAGTATATTTTGAGTTCGTCGGACCGTTGAGGAGAACGAGTAATTGACAAGACTCGGTTGTTTGGCAGCGAACTAGGCTATCATCATTTGCAATTCTTCACAATAACCGCCTGGGGTAATTTTTTTCATGTTAAATTTCAAGAAGCTGCAACAATTTACACCGGAAGCGCTCCACCATAACCTCCCAACATTCATAATAAACGGTTCGGAGGCTAACTTCCCCCTGGACCCCCCCCCCCCCCCCCCCCCCCCCCCCCCCCCCCCCCCAACTACCCTCTCACAGCCCGTTTGGTCAATCTAGAATTTATGTGCAAGCTTTATCGTTAAAGACCTAACAGTATTTGCAGCTTTGCATTTCATCTGGGTTAACCAATTGGGGTTCCTTCTAAAAAAGATTGGCAACTCTACAGATGAAAGTGACGCTAAGAAGCAGTCGGTTAGAATATTCTATCACCACTGACGGGACTGAGGAACTATTAAATGGTGATAATCGGTCAACGACCTCACAAATTAACGGCCACACTGACAAGCCTTCACGGAAGCACCTCCTCCACGCGTGACGCAGCTAAGCAAGCGTGTCAATTACTTGCTACGATAATTTTAGTAACTACAGACATTTCCTATATTTTACTACCACGTAAGTGTCTAGCAATACCTTAGAATACATTGTAGTCGTTTTGTAATACTCACCATAGTTATTTCACAGCTTTCCTATCATATAAGCGTCGCACAACTCTTACTTAATATACCTTACTTTTTTTAGTATTAACTAAAGACATTTTCTACGTTTGATTTCACAATATGTTTATCGGGATTCTTTAGAGTGAATCCAACTCGCTCGGCTTTAATTCAATTGTAAGCCATGTCGCCATATAATAAATCTTAACAAGATATTTTGGATAGTTGATTTTATTTATATAATATTATATGAGCATTGTGGATATTTTCCATGCCTGTCAATAAACTGCAAACCCTATGGGTGATGTAAATGTCAATGGGCAGCGGTTATCACTTAACATCAGGTGAGCCGCCAGCTCGCTAGCCACCTTATACGATAAAAGTCAGCACTTACAATTGCAACTAACAAGTTCATTGCTACCTGCACCGGAATTTGAACTCAGGATGTACGAATGTATTGAAATAAAAGTAACCGCCTGGACTCTGAGCTATCATGGCCCTCAAGATTTTAAAGTGAGGAAGAATTGAATATTGTTAAGATTTTTTTTATATGAAAGTTCACCTGATGTTAAGTGAATACCACCGCTCATGGACAAATGCTACACCCGATGGTTACAGATGCGTTGACAACCTTTTGGAAGTTGGATCTAAAATATACATACCTAGACTAGCATGCGCTTTAATACCGCCCAGGTTTCGAACCCTGAACAGGCCAGACTTTTTGAAGGCACAGTTGATTTTGAACCCGAAGTCCGATTCCAGCACGCAGAGCGGTTGCACTAAATCTGCAAAATAACAAATAATAATTACTTACAGGTAAAATGTGTTATGTATATACTTTCGAAATATCATACCTATATATTTATTTACAGTTAAATACTAGAAATAATACAAAATGCAAATACAAATTAAAAATCAATGGTCTATGTTTTTGTAGTCTCCTGCACTGAAGATAAAACAGAAAATGTGATTTTTTTTTTTAGAAAAATGGACGAAAACTTTTGGTTCTGCGGAGATTAAAACGCATCTCCTGGCCAGCGGGTAACGGACCCGAAAGACACAGGTTAGAATCCCAAAGCGCATGAAATTTTCATCCATTTGTCTACAAAAAATTCAGATTATATGGATAATATAATTTATGTTTTGTACCAAGAAACCAGAATTTATACTTATGCTTTGTTAAGTTCGTTGTATTTTAATTTCCTATAACTCTTCATACAGTAAGTTAATAAGGTTGTTATGAATTCAATGGCGGAACTGAAATCGTCTTTCGCAATGCCTAATAGCATTCCTTCCGCTAGATATCGTTTCGTCCTTCCATCCAGGATACATTGACCCAGATTTCTCCTCATCCTGCGCCATTTGATACGGCCATTCCTATTGCCAAACACGCAAATGATCTCAGCCTACTGTAATAACAACTGTTCTAAGTAATAGTGATGAGTCGTTCGATACGATGTTTTCAATTAGGACCAATGTATAGTCTTTAACTTGACAAAACAAACAGAACAGCAGCACACACGTGTAAAACAAATTAAAACCCGCGTAAGGATGGGATATTTGTTAGGTGTATGATTTCGTATATTGTGCAAAGTTTTTGATCAAACATTTTTTGATTGAGTGTATAAACACCTATAATCTTATTAAATTAAAATAAATAAGATGTATTATATAAGTTATAATAGAAAGTGACCCGTTACCATCATAGCTACAAAGTTTGAATCGTCGGGAATTGAAGTTAAACATGATAAAATCAAACACAGAATTATATAGTCATATTAATAAATGAAACTAATTTTACGGATTTATCGCGTTTTGTTTTAATTTTAATTCCCGACGTTTCGAACCCTTTACAGCGTTCATGGTCACGGGACAAACGGGACGGACACAGACGAAATAAACGCGATAAATCCGTAAAATTAGTTTCATTTATAATGTGTAATCGCGTAAATACAAGAAATTATAGTCATATTAATTATTGTGTACTGTTCGCGTAAACATAATACATAATTAACTGCCATTAAATTTACCCTAGTTACATCGTTATTTCACTTTATATAAATGTCAGCAATGTTACCAATTTACTCTCAACTCTTGCGCCTTATCGACTCAGAATAGGGTTGTCGAATTGCTAATTTATATTGCTATGGGAAGTAATTAACTTCTAAACGACTCCCATGTCTATTATTGATTATTTTGACAGGCCAATTAAGATGTTATGTGATTGATTAATTGTGAATGCGACGGTTGAACAAATTTGCATCCGGTTTTTTGTTGGTTATCGGTAAGTTATTAATAAATTTTGCTACACAAAGGCTAGTAGCTAAGCTGTAACCAATTAACCACTTAGTTTCGGAGCGAAGTTCCTTAACTCCGCTTGCGGGATGTGTGAGTTGGTAGAAATCATCACGTAAGGAAAAATCGTTGTAGGCCGTTCGTTCGCAAGGATCGCTTTCTCTGTCTCGTTCGTATTGTTTTACTGAATTAACAATATGGGGCGATTGTTTTTAGCATTCCTTAACTTTTTATTCATTCATTCGTTTACTCTCTAACCTGTCTTTAGTTTATTTCAACAAACAAGTCTTTCAATACAAAATATACAGCGAAGGCTGTATATTAATAAGAAGGCTGTATATACCTCTCGGTTTTATTTTCTTTTCATTTGTGATAACGTGACCCTTTCTTGACCGCAACATCACATGGCAATAAGTGGCGATGCTGCCATAAATTATAAACGCATTAGATCGGTCTATTCTTGCCTAAAGACAGACGGAGAAATAACACGCAATCGTGTTGTTGTTCTAAATTGTTTATACTATAAGAAGGAACAACTAACTGATCCTATTAATTGATCCTACTAATTAATGAAATTATATGAAAGTGCAAAATTTTTATTTAAATATAAGTTTAAAAATGATGCCAGCGCAGCCTGCACTAGGGGGTAGTTAACGATTTCCGCAATTTGATGACAGATATCCGCAATATGTATGATTGGAATCGAAACAAGTCTATTTGAAAATGTTTTAATGGGAAATATTAAAACTCTCATGTTTGAGACTGATTATTCAATGTTATTGGAGGTCGTGGGTTAACTTTTAGCCAACGTCTCATTTTTTTTTACCGTATTTAGTTTGGTATGAAGAAGCGTTTTTCTGGATTCATTGCGCTTAATGTCCACAAATTTGATTAGTTAATCCATATGAGTAACTTTGTACGTGGTTTCATTGTTTTCTCCCTTGGCTTACCGCTTACTTTACTTTTTTTAATGTGACAAAGTGGCAAACGAGCTGGCGGTTCACCTGCTGTTAAGTGATAACCGCCGCCCATAGACATTTGCAAAAGCCATAGGGTTGACGTTGCTGCCCATTCGTGCTACAGTAAACACTATCGCGTGGCCCTACCACAGCTAAAGCTATTTTGGTATGAAAAAGCGTTCTGCTGACTTGATTGCGCTTAACGTCCACACATTTGATTAGTTAATCCATATGTGGCTTGCTTAGTACGTGCGCGGCCACTTTCGCCGGTCATCGACCCAGCTGGCCGTGTGCCATGAGGTGCCGAATCACACAAGCCGACCGGTTTGAATCCGCGATGCCGGATGTCAGGGAGAAAGGAGGTCCGCGTACGGACAGCAAAACAGTCCGCGAACAACATAGGTGCGTAAGCATCGAACCGCTGTTATGTTTTCTTAAATTAAGCAGTCATTAGCTCTTTGTACGCTGTTCGTGCATCGTTCTTTATGATTTATATTGTAGAACCATTTTGTCTTAGAAATTCGATTGAACAATTCCCTCTTTTTTGAAAGGAAGTTTAAAATGAAAGGACGTTTTAAAAATGCACTTTTCAAAATTCTACTTTTTGAATATTTTTATAATCTGTAAGAACAATTTAAAAAAGTAATCTATTAAATAATAATATTGTATATTAAAAAATATATCGTAAACATACTCATTTTATTCGTATTTGTTACCATTCCGGTTTAGGGATGCCTCATTTTAACATAATAAACTTTTTTTATTTTTTTTTCGTTAGTTATCACAAAAAGTTTCTTTTAAAAACGGTATTTAGTAAGACTATGAATTTCCTTTAGTTTATTCAACATTTGTCAACGGTACCAAGATATTTTTGCGCTACTTCTAAATTGTGGCAAAATTCGTAACGTTAAGAAATCCGGCTCATCGCCAAATTCTAAGCGTAAAAAATGTAGTAACGTATAATGTCATTACGTGTTACGTAAAAAATGCGTCAGTAATGTCCGCTTAGAATTTGGCGATGAGCCGGATTTCTTAAGTGCCTTTTCCAAACTACATAGAAAAACAATTACTGACTGTATCGCTAATACAGGCCAGTCCGTTCTTGGTAACTAACCTATATATATAGTTACTAAAAGAGTATCAATTTTAAATAAAGTTTTCTGGAGCTGGTCAAAGTGAATCTTGACTTCAAAAATGCATCTTATATTTGTGCAGGTATCATGCTAATGCTATCATCACTACATAGTATAAAACAAAGTCGTCCCGCTCTCTGTCTGTCCCTATGTATGCTTAGATCCTTATAACTACGCGATGAATCTTGATGCGGTTTTCTTTACTAGATAGAGTGATTCAAGAGGAAGGTTTATATGTATAATACATTGCACCCGTGCGAAGCCGGGTCGGATTGCTAGTTCTACATAAAAAAGATAACACGACCGCAAAGTTTCTTGCCTGGACAGATCCAGTTTAGTGAACCGGTGGTAGTTAATTGACGTTCAATAATAGCTTAAAATAAGCCAATATTGAACAAAGAAATTTTGACTTTAATAAAAATTATATCTTTAGATCTTACCGAGCGAAGACTAGAAATGCTACATATATTGCCGTCCTCCTAAGTAACGTTACCACTACTATCACAACGCAGCAATCTTGATGGTAGTATATTGTTACTGTCATCGCAAATTGGCGTTAAATCGCTTACGCCATCGCATCGTCCATTGTCTTGTGTCGCTCTTTATATTCAATTACTTGGTAAAAGCGGTGTATTGCGATAGATAATCGTAGCGATAGTAACGATGATCGTTTCTTATTCTGTGCTATCCGCAACCTGTCATATGTGATGGGGTATTCACGGATGTAGGGGAGGGTCGTTTTTTTTTAGTTGCCAAGCGAGCAGACGGTTCACCTGATATTGAGTGAATACCGCCGCCCATGTACATCTGCTACACCCGAGGGTTGCAGATGCGTTGACAACCTTTTGAAAATTGGGCTCCGGCCACCTCACTCACCAGACGAAACGCGAAAGTATTATATACTTTACGCCGGTCTTCTGTGAGGTCGTGGTACTTACCCGGACGAGCCTGCCCATTCGTGCAACAGCCGAGGCTGCTGCGTGGCCCTACCGCCGTAGGGTCGTGCTTCGTGGTAGTCTGTGGGGTAGGCCTTTGTTCAGCAATAGACTCAAACAGGTTGCAATGATGATGATGATGATGATTCACGGATGCTTACCGTGTATACTTTACACAACTCTATATAACGATGTGTACATTGATAAGCGACAAAACATTGCCTAATAAACTAGATTGGAAACGCATGGCTATTTAAATGTTTGATGACTCCGTGGCGCTGTTGCCACGGTATTGGCTTGGGCATCGGGGGTCGTGGGTTCGATTCCCACACGGCACAACTATTTGTGTAACCCACAGATAGTTGTTTCGCATCTGGGTATTTGTCGGCGTGAAATTTATGCTTGTGAAAACCTGTCCTTACAACACAGGGTAATGTTATCCTAAAGTAGGGGCAATGTAAAAAAAAGAAAAAAAAAAAGACAATTCCGCATCTAATCAAATTGACGGAGCCGCCATAATTTGAGACACGACTAAAGATCTTCTTTAAAAGCAAGAGTTATTCACTCTGCATATAATAGACTGTCCGCACAATCGAACAGTCCAAAAAACTTGAATCGGGGTCAACTGTTATGTGATTACGCTGTTGAAATATACTCAGAGCTTCAATGTTGATATTTTAACATTGTAAACCTTAATTTGTAAGCTTAATTGGGTGAAATTTTAATACGATTTACAGCCATGTCGGTGAGCGAAAGAGACAGCGCTAGTAAAGTGCACAAATTGTAAATTTTTCACAAACAACATTTTACAATATTTAAAATTAACAACACATAAGACAGTTTTTTAAAAAATAGGGAAATGTGTTTCAAATCACAATTCACATGTAGTTTACACCTACGTTTTTTTCAGTTGACTGTCATTAAAAATGTTTGATCGAACATTCGCTCCGAGTGCAGAATCCCCTCATTTACTTTCTTGCAGATTTAAGTCTTCACTTAAATCTGCTTAAGGTAAACCATGACCATTAATTAGATTAGTACTTTACTGTTTTCTTCCAACGGTGACCGCTCAGCCGCACCCACGGCTGCTTATTCACTTTCCACGTCGCGATGCATCGTATGATAAGATCCTTCTGGCCGATTTCGGAACCGACATTTTCTGGCATCGCTGGACATTCATTACGGTCTTTTTATTACGACTTGTACCCGAATGTGCAATCATTAAAACTTTCATGAGACATTATTATCGAAATGTTAAGACAGCTGATCTGAAGTTTAATCGTGTCGAGATTTGGTCCTGTCGGAAGTTCTTTAAAGGGGTGAATGGGATGAGTTCAGTAATTTTCACTTGTGAGCCGTCTTAATATTTCGTTGTAGCCCAATATTTTGCTAAAACACGACATGGACATGCGCCAAATACTTCATGTCTATTTTATTAAATGGTATTTTTTTTATAACGTCATCATCCTCATTTCGACGATTCAATTGGCCTAAGGGTAGTGGACAGTGAGTGGGTAAAATGGACATATTATATTTTATGTGACAAACATGTTGTCTTTCTAATGTCTAGGTGTTTATATGTATTTATAATAGGTATTTATTTAAAAATTAAAAATATTTGTAAGTATGTTAATCAATTACCAGATACCCATAGTACAAGCTTTACTTAGTTTAAAAAAAGTAATATTTTTTTATGTGAAAAGTTGCCAAGCAAGCAGATGGTTCACCTGATGTTAAGTGAATACCGTCGGCCATGGACATCTCTTACACCCGAGTGTTCCAGGATGCGTTGACAATCTTTTGAGAAATTGGGCTCCGGCCACCTCACTCACCAGACGAAACGCGAAACTATTATACTTCCATTTTGCGCCGGTCTTCTGTGAGGTCGTGGTACTTACCCGTGCCTGCCCATTCGTGCAACAGCCGAGGCTGCTGCGTGGCCCTACCACCGTTAAACGTTAATAGATAACGTTGTATGAAAGTATGTCCTGAAAAGATTTATTTATTTATTTCACCCCGTAAAGACCACTACTGAACATAGACCGCAATCATCTATAATATATAAAAAATAATTAACTTTCAAAAATCATCACAAATTTTGACTAAATCAATCGCCGAACCAGAGAAAGCAAGAGTTGTGAAATATGAATGAAATCTTTTTAATATACATAATAAATACTAAAAGACACAACTTATATGAAATATCATAACATTTGCATAACTAGCGGACAGTCGAAAAGGAATGCGGACTTTCGTTTTCCCCCGAGAAAGCGTGGTCAGGGCTTAAACAACTGAGCGACTGTTCTTAGAGTCAACACGCGTCCATGAAGACGTTCGCGTGTTAATCATGAACGGCTTCTACTCGCGGTTTCGC